CACACAAAACTCTGTAAGGCCAAGTGAGGATCTGTTTCTCATTTGAGAAACAGCAGTTCTGAGGAAGAAAGTGACTTCCCAAGACAAGCCTGTCTATCCAGAAAGGAGCTAGGGAGGGCAGAGGCTGTCTAAGAGTCTCAGATGGTAAATTCACCACAGTCCATATTAAAGTGAGTCCTACACCTTTCCAGACACCAGAACCCAGAATACAACCTTCCTATTTTCAGGGGACCTGGGAAGCCAAAAGTAATAAAAGAAGTGAGGGACTTGTGTTATTATAAGGGAGAGTCCAGGTCTTGGAGCCTGATTTAACCTCTCTGCCCTGCAACCAAGATCCCCATTTACTGAGCACCTACTATGTGCCAGACATTGGTGTTGAAGGCTATGCACATATTCTCTCTTTTAATTCTCTGTTGTAGGTTCTATTTTCATTCCCAATTTACAGAAGAGGAAAGAGGCCAGAAGAAGTGAAGTACCCCACTCAGCTTGCATAGTAGATAAGTGGTAATAAAGCTGGAATTTGAACCAGGCCACTCCTCTTAATGCCACACTCCCCTGCCACCCCCAGCCCCTACCACCCCAGAGACAGGAATGCTCCAGTGCCAGATTCCCTGTCTCTTGCTCCCAGATGGGCCTGAAGACATCCCCACCCCATGTGACCTTTCTTCCCTTACTTTAAATTTCTTTCTGTTGAATCACATAACACTGTTGAATCATATATACACAAATAGGTATACCAACACAGCATTCAATTTATCGGTCTCTCTGCTTGTGGGGAGGGAAGGAGAGTACTGAGGGCCTAGATGTTCCCACTGAAAAATAACCCTAAGAGCATGTCCTCCCTACAGATAGTGGGCCAGGGCAGTCATTTCCATGGGCTGATGTTTGATCAATTAAACATTCCTCTTAATAGAGCTTTGGACTTCGGGTATATTTTTCTGTGCTTATCCATGCCCCGGTGGGAGACAGGCCCTTTTTGATTTGATACTGGTTCTACTATCAACATCTTCGCTGGTTCACTTATTTATTCAACAAATATTTATCATGCAGCTACAATGTGAAAAGCAATGAGACAGGCAAAGAGCCAGGAAATAGAGATTAAATGGTGAAACCACCAGATATGAAACATCTAGTGAGGAAACAGACACTACAGGCGAACAAGTGTATAAATACAAAATGTGGTGGGTGCTATAAGGGAATGGACTGAGGTGCAGTGAAATACTAGGAGAGACCTACTATTCATAGGGGAATCAGGGAAGGCTTCTCTGAGGAAGTGACATTTAAGCTAGGACTTGAAATACAAGTAAGAGCCAAGCAGGCAAACGCTGAGGGAGTAGGCAGCCCAGGTTCCAGGCAGGGAGAGCAGCATGTGCAAAGGCCCTGAGGAGCTGAGTAAGATCAATGAGCTCAAAGGCCAGTGTGGCTAGAATCAAGTAGGCAGGAGAGTTCAGGAACAGAGGTCAGGAGTGAGGCAGTGGCCGGATCTCAAGGCCCCTCAGTCAGCCAGTATCGGGTCCTTTGAAACATGAAGAAAGACCCTAGGCATACTTCATGGCTAGTATGAATCCCTCAAGTCGACTTCTCAAGCCTTCTGAGGGGGCAGGATCCCTGCCTATTCATTCTTGTGCTCCCAGAGCCAGGCACCCAGTGGATGTCTGATAAACACATCTGTGGAGTGATTGAAGGAATGGAGGGGGAGAGGAGCCCGGGGTCCTGGGCCTACCATCAACTGGCTATCCCAACTTTGCCAAGGTCCTCAACCTCCCTGGACCTCAGGTAAGATGAAGGCATTGCCATAAATTCCTTTTATACCTCCATTCCCACCCCCCCCATCTACTGGCCCCAGCTGTCAGGCCCAATCCGAGCCTGCTAAGAAATCCAAAGTCCACTCTCTAGCCAGGCTGATCCTGGCTGAAAACAAGGTTGTTTTTTCCTTCCCGCTGCCCCTGGGAAAACAAGCTGGCTGGGGGGCCATAGGGGCCAGAGGGGTGACCTTTGCTCCTGCTAGCCCCACCTGCCCCACCCAGCCAGCCAGCTGGCCTGGAAGAGCTCCTTCTGGGCTGAGCAAGTCTAGGCAGGTAACTGAGTAGTGCCCAGATGAGAGTGAGGGAAGGGGTGAAGGTACTTCCTGCCTCCCTAAGCAAGAAAAGCCCCCAGTGGTCCCTGCCAGGACAGTGCCCACCCTCCTTGGCCAGAAACACACCCTGCTGGCCCACTGGGTGCCTACTCTTTTCCACTGGCTCTGAACACTGTCAAGAGTGTAAGGAAGTTTGGATTCCAGCCTCGGTTTCCTTATCTGTAAAATGGGGCTTGGGTTCCCTACAGTGGTCCAGATGGAGGCAAAGAGGTGAGTGCTAAAATGGTGCTCTGAGCACCACAGGCATTAATCCCCCAGAGCAGTCCTGGGAGAGTTCTAAGCTGCTACCTTGGGTTCTACAAATGAAGGAACTGAAACTCAGGGCCAGAGAACCTTGTCCCAACATCAGAGTCATTAAGTGGCAGAGTCAAGACTAACAGCCAGGTCTGTCTGGCTCCAGAACCTGCTCACCTTCCACCATACCCTGTTGCTGTCCCAGTAGTAATAGTGATAGAGGTAATGACATTCAGAACTGCCCACCCCGTGCTGTGCTGAGCACTTTGTCCACATTAATTCACACTTATGATGCTTTGTGAAGGTGAGGGGCCATTTTTAATACGAGCAGAACTCTCCTGGCACCATCAAGATTTGCAAAAAATGGTGCAGCCTGAGTGATCCCCATGTGGCAGAAAGGGGCTGAAACCTTATTTCCTGAGTGGACTTGGGAAATAAGTCCCAAGGTGACTTCTGCCAAGGTTGAGGCACCCACCTGAAGGGGACACTGAGTCCTCTCCCTGCCAAAGGGCCAAGCTCCCATCTCCAGCCCTCAGAGGCCTTTTAGCAGTCCCACTGCTCCAGGCTCCCCTCCTTCCCCCAGCTATCCCGATGCCCCAGCCTCCCCGGAGCCCCCATAACCTTGGGAGCCTTCAGGTCCTGTCCACCATCTTCCATCCTCCTCCTCTTACCAGTCAAAGCCAGAATCCCCTGGAAGGGTTGAGGGACCCAGGAAGGGCTCCTCCCAGAGCCCTGCAGGTCCTCCTCCTCCCCCCAGGGTGGGACAGTTCCCTCCATTCAATCTAATTCTGCAACAAATCCCTGGGCAGGGACGGACTCCCCTGGAACCAGACAAACCTAGAACATCACCTGACCCGGACTGGTCCTCTCTGCCACCATCTGGTCTCCACACTGCTCAGCCACAGTGATCCTAATGCACACAACGGATCAGATGTAGTAAACCCCCTCAATGGCCTTTAGCCCACCATCTCCAAGGCCTGTGCCTGCTTCCTGAGGGTACTTTCCACACTTGCAATTCTACATCTCTTCTTGGGATTTTTCTTTTTTTAATTTATTTGGCTGCATTGGGTCCTCGTTGCTGTGCACGGGCTCTCTCTAGCTGTGGCAAGAGGGGGCTACTCTTCGTTGCAGTGCGCAGGCTTCTCATTGTGGTGGCTTCTCCTTGCGAAGCACAGGCTCTAGGTGCACGGGCTTCAGTAGTTGTGGCACACAGGCTTAGTTGCTCTGTGGCATGTGGGATCTTCCCGGACCAGGGTTCGAACTCGTGTCCCCTGCATTGGCAGGAGGATTCTTAACCACCGGGCCACCAGGGAAGTCCCTGTTCTTGGGATTTTTGATGCACGCCCCCACCCCACGCACCAGCCGACCCTTCTAGAGTTTGTTCTCTGCATCCCTGGCCAGATCAGAGCCAGGAACAGAGTAAGGGCCCAATAAAGAGTTGCTCAACTAATGAAACTGGTGTCCAGGGAGCGCGGGGAACCGGGATAAGGTCATTCTGAGCCGCAGTGACGAAGCCCCCGGCCCCAGCTCCGAATCCGCCCGGCCCCTACACTGCCGAGCGGCAACGTCAACCGGAAGCGGCGCGTGCGGAGCTGTAAACACAACCCTCAACACCCTACCTAGCGCTCTCCTCAGCCCCGCCCCCGCCCTCCACGTGACGCGCCCCGCCCGCCCCAACCCAGTGCCCGCCCCCGCTGTTGCCTCATTGGGCGGCCAGCTTTGTTTACCTTATATGGCCAGGTCCTAACACCTCCCGACAGCCCATTGGCTGAGACGCGGCCTCATTCACTTGACGTCACAAGGACTGAGCGATGCAAATAAACCAGGGCATTCTGGGAATGGGAGTTCGGGGCCGCCCCGGAACTGGCGCCGCGCGGTCCTAGAGTCCGCCTACTAAAAGCTGAGATTTCCGGCAAAGCGCACGAAATATTGCGTGGGAAAGTGCAAGCATCCCGCAGAGAGTATGCAGAGGCTCCAGAGACTGCTGGTCTCGCCTACCTGTCTCGGTCGCCACCCCTTCCTCTGATGTTCCTTGGGTCTACTGTGTGCTTGGCGGAGCGCCAGGCCGCGGAGGGACCCGTGTCACAAGTGGGCGACGCGAGCTTGTGCCCTGGGTGTTGGGGTGACTCGGAAGGCTTCCTGGAGGCGGTGACTTTAGGCAGAACCCTAAAGGGCAGAATAATTCATTCACTGAACGAGTATCTGTAGGCGCCTACTGTGTGCCAGGCTTTCGGGGCCTTATGGCCCTAGTGCTGTTGATTTGTGCCAAAATTCTTGGCCCATCCCCCTCCCCAATAGTGCGCCTACTCAACACAGAGAGATGCCAATCACACTGGGGTTCGGGATACTGGGATCTTGGTAAATACCCTGAGGCTGCGTTTGCGCCCATGCACAGTGTCTATGGCCCCCGTCTCCTGACCCCCGTCAGTTCAGTCACGGGCCTGGGTACGTGCCCGTCCAGCTTCTGCACACAGTAGGCGCCCAACGCTCAGACACACCTTCGGCCCCGGGCCGGCCCGCAGCTCCCGGCCGAGCGCGGCGGAAGCGGCGCGGGACTACATCTCCCAGCATGCCCCCCGCGGCCCGGAGCGAGGCGAGGCTCGGTGAGTCAGAGCCGCACAGTAAATATTTGTATTAGCCGGAGCCGGCTCGCTAATGGTGGACGCGTGAGGCGAAGGAGCGCGCGGCGGCGGGAGGCCGGAGCGGGCAGGCGGCGGAGGCGCCATGTCCGTGAACATGGACGAGCTCAAGCACCAGGTCATGATCAACCAGTTCGTGCTGACGGCCGGCTGCGCAGCCGATCAGGCGAAGCAGCTGCTGCAGGCGGCCCACTGGCAGTTCGAGGTGCGCGGCCGGGCTGGGGCCGGGGCGCGGGTGTCCGTCCCGCGTGGCTACGCGTGCAGTGGAGCATGTGCGGGCCGGTGTGGACACGTGCCGCGGCGCGCTTGGCCGGGGTCGGGCCCGCGCACTCGGCCCGGAGCCCCGGCGGTCGCGCGCCCCGGCGGCTGGGCCGCAGAGCGCACACGCGGCGTGCGGGTCAGGCCCGCGGCGCGGCCGCGTCTACGCGGCCCCCGGAAACGCCGCCCGCTCGGGGTGGGCGGAAGGGGCAGTCTGCCTCCCCCGGGCCCGAATCCCCAACCCCCAAATTCCTGGGCGATCGGTTTTGGGGGCCCCCCTTTTTGTGCGGGTAACGGCCAGGGCGGGGCGGCGCCGAGGCCCAAACGGACAGACTGGCGGGCGGCCGGAAGGAGGACGCCCCAGGCCTGAGCCGAGCTGGGCCCACGCCGCCCCCGCCTTGGGAGCTGCGGGTTTAAGATAAGGGAGACCCGAGCCCGCGGTTGGAGCCGCCCGGTGGGTCTCAGGGTCTGAGGATCTGCGTGTGGGCTGGACAGCTCGGCGGCGCGTGTCCACGTACATGTGCATTTGTATTTACGCACGCGCCACGCTGCGCGTGGACATGTTGGCGCGCGTGCGCGCGTGTGTGTAAACACGCAGTCCACCGGGGCGCGGGTGCGGGGTGTGTACCCACACCACAGGTCGCCGTTTTGCAGACGGTGCTCTCGCGTGCGCACACATGTGTACAGGTGTTGTGTCGGAGCCCCACACTACAGCTACGTGTGCATCTGTGTACCCTGCTCCAGAGGCGTGTCCAGGTGCTCTCCTCTGTGCTGGCCGGCGAATCTACCTGCACAGTGCATGGCATGATATACACGGTTCAGTAGCTTCTAGCTTTCAGCCAGCTGGGCAGGAGGTGGGGCTGCCCCAGCCTGGCCCCCACCTCCCCAGGCCTCCCCGACCCATAGGGCACTAGTGCCCAGGGCTTGTGCTGCCAAGAGGCCACCTGGCCTTCCCTACTCTGCCGCCCCAGAAATAACCCAGGATGGTATCTAGGGATGAGGCCAGAGCCCCTTGAGCTCTTCCCCTCACAAGTGTAAGGTCACAGCCCCAGCCAGTCTGTAGAGTCTGTGCCCAGCCCAGGCTTCAAAGCCTGGTTTCTAGATGGGGAGCAAGCTCAGGGAAGGTATTTGGGCCGTAGGAGGGACAGGGAGCCAGGGTACTCTGGAATTCAGCTTCCTGGGGGTGGGATGGGGATCAGAATTGCTGCCCGAAGGTTGGGACAGTCTGGGGAGGCAGTGGCCTGTCCACCCAGGGGAATCCTTGCTCACTTTCCTACCAGAGATCTCAGGGGGACTGCTAACCCTGCGGTGGTCCTCACATCACAAGATGGGAGGCTGCTCTGGCTCTCTGAGCAGGTCCCACTCTCTGGCCTCAGTTTCCTCAGCTGTACCTGGGGCATGTGAGTTGACCTCTAAGGAGTGAATGGCCAACCCCGGCAGCCCCACCCTGCAGGAAGCTCCCCAATCAGCCCGTTTGTCTCAAGAGCTGGATGTGGCAAAACTTGCAAAACCACATTCATGGCAGTTTGCTTGAGTCCCACATCTGCATACCCGGCTCCCCCGTCTGCCTGGGGCTGGGCAGGCAGGTAGGTGTCCGGTCTGCCTGGGGCTGGGCAGGCAGGTGTCCGGTGGGAAGCGGCTCTGCCTGTCCGCACTCTCAGCCCAGCCCACAGAGCCTGGCACCAGCCTGGCAGTCACTCAGGCAGCACTGGTTGGTGTCGCTTGGTCACAGGACTTGAAAATGTAACTTTGAAAATGGAAATGCCTGGGGAAAAACTCTGATCTCAGGAGGGGCAGGAGCAGCTTGCAGACTGGGGAGCTCTGGTGGCCCCCAGGGTAGGAGCCCTGTGCGCCAGGCTCCCTGAATCTCAGTTTCACCATGTGTAAAATGGGGAGGCGGATAGTAGGGAGGTCTGCTTAAGGTAAAAATGGATTGTGAACATCCAATCTTTAGGTCTTCCTGGGAGTGAGTGGGGTTCCTTGTGGTAAACTCCCCTCTGTGCCCTCTTCCCTGGCTAGCTGCACACTTGGACTGAGGGCTGGCGCAGCAGGAGGCCTTGTTTTTGGGTCATACTCTCTGTGATTCAGGTGTTAATGGGGACAGAAGGCTGCTGGAGGGGGACCTGTGTGCTTTAAGGTTGGGGGTGCTTTAGGAAGGCAGGAAAAGGGCAGCCGTTTCTCCCTGGAATCCTCACACACAGCAATGGCCTTCAGAATTGCCGTTGGGGGAGGAATGGTTTGGTGGGTCCCTTGGGGCTCCTGGGGGTGTGTGTCACAAGGAGGTGCTTAGAGATCAAGGCCCTCCCCCCAGCTCCCACACCCATGTTTGGGGACACTGGGGTAGGGCATCTCCAGCAGGAAATTCCCAGAGTAATTCACTTGAATTTAATAATAAAACCCCTAGGGTAAGCCCTAGAAGCCAGGCTGGGTTTCTGGGTGTGTTGGGAGTGGGGGAGGGGCTGACAGCGCTGGGCTGTGGGGTGGTGAGCCCGAGGGGGGAGCCATGGAGGGCAGAGCTGCCTGCAGACCCTTCACACACTTGACGGGCTCCCTCACCCAGCACTTTCGCAAGAGCAGCTGGTTCCTTTATTTTCCTGGATGCCTCTCCTGCAGGGGTCGAACCAGGACACACCAATGCCAGCGGAGGCCACCCTGGGGCCCCTCCTCCCAGCCCCTCAGGGTCACTAGAGGAGCTTGTCTGACCCAGGCCAGCTGCCACCCCCTTTCTCACCCACTTCTCACAGTCCTGGGTGCATACCCCACTTCAGCCTTCCTCCTGCTCCACCACCTTGAGAACATTCCAAGGAAGGCTCAGGTAACTGGACAGGGGTGCAAACCCCAGACCATCCTACTTAATTCCGGCTCTCCCAGCTGGACCGTGGATCTCCGGAGGTCACTGCGGCTAGGGAGGGGAACCTGCAAGCCACCTAGTCCCATCACCCTGTGGTGCAGACGGAGAAACTGAGAACCAGGGCAGAGTCCCTTGGCCAGCCTAGGAGAGGAGCAGGTGGGTTACACATTCAACATCTGGGTGCCTTTGCTGTCCTCTGGCTCATAGACAAGGAAACTGAGGCTCAGGGAGGAGTAGGGACTTGCCATCCATGGAGTTGGTGGCAGTAGGGCTAGAATCTGCCGGAGGCCTTTCCCCATGAGACAGGCCCCCATGTCAGGTGAGCTGGAAGCACTTGGCAGCCAGGTGGCAGGCAGTGTCATGAGGGTCCTCCCCACCCACCAGACCTGCCCAGAGGTCCACAGTGCCTCTTTGGGCTGCGGCGAGGGTCGAGGGATGACAGGCATGCTGCCTCAACTTGCCAGGCCAGGGCCACAGGGGTCCTGAGGGTAAGCGTGGGCCTTTCTTCCCGCAGACGGCCCTCAGCGCCTTTTTCCAAGAGACCAACATCCCCTACAGCCACCATCACCACCAGATGGTAAGTGTCCCCTGCAGCCCCAGGGGCAGCCCTGCGGGGCTGTCCCAGTTCAGGGCAGGGGGAAGCCACCCAGGGCCAAGGAAGGTGCAGTGGCTCTTGGCCACGGAAGAGCCGCTGGGATGGGACTCCTGGGAGCCTGGCAGCAGGCACAGTGGGCTAGCCCATCTCGGACACCACACCTTTCCTCTGTGAGCTCCTGGCTGGTGGACCGCCTGCAGGGTGGGGTGCCTCCAGGGAAGGGGCATGTGTCTCCTCGTGGGAGCCCGGGGCCCTTCCAGAAAGGGGGTGCTCACCCCTCCCTCTCTGTTCCTCTTCCCCCACAGATGTGCACTCCAGCCAACACCCCCGCCACGCCCCCCAACTTCCCCGATGCCCTCACCATGTTCTCCCGTCTCAAGGCCTCCGAGAGCTTCCACAGCGGAGGCAGCGGCAGCCCGATGGCCGCCACGGCCACGTCGCCCCCGCCGCACTTCCCACTCGCCGCCACCAGCAGCTTCGCGGCACCCAGCTGGCCGGCTGCGGCCTCGCCCCCAGGGGGGGCACAGCACCACCAGCCGCAGCAGCCGCCCCTGTGGACTCCGGCACCCCCTTCCCCGGTGTCAGACTGGCCGCCCCTGGTCCCCCAACAGGCCGCCTCAGAACCCAGAGCCCACCCTGCCATGGAGGCCGAGAGATAAGGGAGGCCCCTCCCCCCTCCCGGAGGCCAGAACCCCGTGGGGCGGGGGAGAGGACGTCTCTGCGGGCCCCCTTCACCCTCTGTCTGCACCCCCATTCCCCAGAGCCCTGGGGGGGAGAGACCGGACCCTTGTGCCAGTACGCAGGCTGCCCGCATGCGTACCCAGCAGCGCGGGCCTGCGGCACCCAGCTTTCATGGATTTGGTTCAGAGTCGTCTGGGTGCTGGTGGACAGAACCTCAGAGAACAAGCAGCCTTCCCCCGAGGACTCACCTGCCCCACCCCACCCCAGGGGGCTGCGGAGCTCCCTGGGGCTGGTGGGCCTAGATCCCCACCCTCGGGAATGCAGAGCCTTCTCCGCATGTGTGCGTGTCGCTGTGTCTGTGTATTTATATGTATGTCGCTCTTCGAGAAGCAACCTAGTTTATGGGGCAGCTGGACTTTGCATGTTAGAGTGAGCCCCCTCTCCCCTTGTCCGCCGTCCCTCTCCCCAGGGCCTTGCCCCTCTCCCCTGCCCCCTGGGCAGTCAGCCTTGCTGTTCCCTGCAGAGAAAAGGATTGTGGGAAACTCCAGGACTCTTCCCACCCATCCCCCAGCGCCTGCCTGCTGGGGCTGCCTGCATGCCTCCCCAGAGCCCGGGGGTACCCCATCCCCAGTTCCTTTCCCCCTTTTAACAAAGGAGAAGAAAGAGTTCCAAACCACCACCAGGCTCTGTGGTCTTGCCTCGTATCCTAAGCTTTGCTGCCAGCTGGCCCTGTGTGGAGGGGGAGGGAGCCAACGGAGCCCAGAGCAGGGGCCCACCCCCCAGTCCCGCCTGGCTCCACACCGCTCCTGTCTGTTGCTGTGTTTTCAACCACAACATGCTCTGGAATCTTCCTGCCCACCCCAGGCTTTTCCCATGAAGTTAGTTCCTGCCCTGTGTTCCCAGAACCCCTGCCTCCATCTGCTCACCCTTCCCCCGTCCGACTGGACAGATCCCGACCTCCAGGGCTAACAGCTGCCTTCCGGTCTGCCAGGGTTTCACAGAGGACTTTTCTTCCTGGCTTAGGGCCCCAGTGACTGGCTGCAGGCTGGACCCTCAGCCCAACCTCCAGCAAATATGCTGTGTGGGCAGGGCCCTCCCTTGGGGAGGCACAGGACACAGCACCCGTAGTAAGATAGCAGGCTTGGCTGCAGAGCCCGTGGGGGCTAGCAGCAGGGACCGGACAAGGCTGAGCAGAGTCTAACCCACAGCTCAAACCTTTGGTTGCTAAGGAGACGAACCACTCGGGCAACAGTGGATCCCCGGCTGCTATCAAGCCAGGCTAGGGCAGGCACCTGTTCTTGCTCCAAGGGAGAAGCCAGGGCGCCCCACTCTGTCCTGGGCAGCCTGTACCAGTGGAGGGCATCCCTGGGGCGGCTTTGGGAGAAGGTAGCCTTGGCCTTGTACCCCTTCGTGACGAGCTGGAACGTGGGGAAGGAAGGAGGCGGGGGCCTCTGCAGCTCTTCACTGGCAGACCTTACTCCCTAATCTGGGAGAGCCTGCCAGCACTCAGCCCTCTGTGGACGGCGTCTGGGTTGGGGAGTTCTATTTTGGAAGGTCTCCTGCTTGACAGGTGTCTCAGCGCCTGCCATCAACAGTTCTGCTCTCGCTCCCCAGGGATGCCGTGCTGCCACTTAGCCTCACCTCTGCCCTGTTGGAGCCTGGACAGGCTCTGCGGACCACTGTCTGTCCCCGCTTATCACTGAAGACTGACCGCGGCGCCCCTGCTCTAGCTGTTGCTTATGTTCTGGAAGTGTGTCCTCACCTTGAAGCCCACCCTTCTAATGGCCTTCAGAGGGGGCGCAGCTCTGTCTGGGGTGCCTGTGGTGAGGGAATTGCGGGATGGGGCAGGATGAGAAGGGGGAGGCTGCCCTAGGCCTCTTTACTTTCATCCTTTTGGATGGAAGACAATTCTCAGGGAGCTGCCACATCTCCCTCCAAGTGTAGGAAAAATGGTTTGTAGAGGCAAGTAAGTATTTCTGGGTTATCTGTGACATGGGGGTTATCTGTAACAGTGTGCCTGAGCTCCCCAGTGTGCAGATTACTGAGGTGGCCGTATGCGTTGGAGCCACACAAGACAGTGTACAGTCCAGAATGTGCACTCAGCCTACCCCCAGGTGGGCCCCTGGGTGGCCTGTAAGTGATCCACACCCTTGCTACTCAAAGTGTGGTTCCCAGACCAGCGGCATAACCTGGGAACTTGTTAGAGATGCAGGACCTCAGCCCCCAGCCCAGATCTACTGAAACAGAATCTGCTTCTGACAGGATCCTCACGTGCCCAGTGGACATTCAAGGGTGAGAATGTCCCAACCTGACCAAGCCTAGTTCTGTTTCTGGAGGCCCCCACGGGCTGGGCCTGGAGGTCCCTGGTGGTCTCATTAGGGCTGGCAGGGACTTGAGGTTCCTGTAGATCCAGCTCTTCTAGCATGGGCACTCTAGACATTGGAGGCTGGGTCCTTCTCTGCCATGGGCGCATCCTGTATGCTGTGAGATGTTGAGCAGTATCCCTGGCCCCTTCCCATGAGTAGATGCCAGGAGCAGCCCCCAGTTGTGGCAACCAAAAATGTCTATAGGCACAGTGAAACATCCCCTGGAAGCAAAGTCACCCCAGTGGAGAGATCCCACGCTGCCTGTGGTTCCGTAGCTGGCTGCACAGCATGGCCTCCAGGGAGCTCCCAGGCCCCACGGCATCAGAATCCCTGGGGAGGCCCTGACAGTACAGTTTTAAACATTCCCCAGGATATCAGTGATCGACTTGTGAATGTACTAAAAACCACTCAATCGTATACTTTAAAAACTGTATGGGGGCTTCTCTGGTGGCGCAGTGGTTGAGAATCTACCTGCCAATGCAGGGGACACGGGTTCGATCCCTGGTCTGGGAAGATCCCACATGCCGTAGAGCAACTAAGCCCGTGCGCCACAACTACTGAGCCTGTACTCTAGAGCCCGTGAGCCACAACTACTGAGCCTGTGTGCCGCAACTACTGAAGCCCACGCGCCTAGAGCCTGTGCTCCACAACGAGAGAAACCACCGCAACGAGAAGCCTGCGCGCTGCAACGAAGAGTAGCCCCCGCTCACCACAATTAGAGAAAGCCCGCATGCAGCAACAAAGACCCAACACAGTCAAAAATAAATAAAATAAATAAATTTATAAAAAACTGTATGGCATGACACTTATGTGTCATAGCTGTTATTAAAAGTAGAATGGTTCCCGGGTGATTCTGATGCAACACAAGCCCCTCGTGGCAGCTGGGAGCCACCAGACTTGTGACCCTCCAGCATGCAGAGCACAAGGGTCCCTTGGGTCCTTGAGGCAACTGTTCTGGAGGAGGGCCCAGGAATCTGATTTCTCTCTTTTAAAAAATTTTTTTAATGGACTTTATTTTTTAAAGCAGTTTTGGTTTTTTTAATTCTGTTTTTGAATTTTATTTTATTTTTTATATAGCAGGTTCTTATTAGTTATCTGTTTTATACATATTAGTGTGTATATGTCAATCCCAATATCCCAATTCATCCCACCACCACCACTTTCTCCCCTAGGTGTCCATATGTTTGTTGTCTACATCTGTGTCTCTATTTCTGCCCTGCAAACTGGTTAGGAATCTGATTTCTAACAAGGGCCCCAGGCACAGCGGAAACTGGAGCAGGAGGGGGCAGAGGGCAGGGCTGGAGCTTTCCAGCAATGCTGAGGCCCTGCCAGGTGTGAGCCTCTGAGCATCTCTCAGGCAAGCAAAGGGGTCAGGAAAACTCACTCAAGGGGAGCTAGAGGTGGGACAACATAGATGCCACGTGACCCAGAACTCAAGGGCAGCACAGAACCAGGAACTTCAATTTCCCCAAACCTTGAGTCTCAGAAGCAAAACTGAAGGAGTCAGTAACCACCTACTACACGTTCAAGTGTAAACTGGCTAAAAAGCAAAGCTGCTGATGTAGGAACGGAAGAGACTCACATTTACAGCCATCCTCAGCTGTCCACCTCGGGCACCTCCTAGGAGCTGCCTCAGCAGCACACAGAGACCAGCCTTGTCACCTCAAAAGTCCAGCCTCTGGGCTTCGTCACCACTAGACTTGAGCTCCAGATCGCTCTCTTTCCAAGATTCCATTGTGAAAACACCATTTGCATCCATGAGGTTGCTGGAAAGAATGTGATTGGAGCTCTCATTTCTGAAGAGGGTACATGGCAGCATGTGGAATGGAGGCCCGGCCTCCCCAGGTGACAAGTGGTGGGTGAGCCCTTCAGGTCTGATGTTAAATGATCAGGGCGTGGCTGTCTTAGGGGTTTGCAGATTCACAGGCCTCTGATATGTGCTGTTGGGCTTGATTTGTCGGCCAGCACTTTAAAATCAGGAGAGTTAAATAAAAAAAATTAAAAAAAAAAAATCAGGAGAGTTTACAAGAAAAGCCTCACTTCTGGCTTACCTTGGAAAATTTGTAATATCTGGACCAAGTTCCCTTAAGGCCACAAATGGTTGAAGCTGACCACCACGGTGGGGACATAGCTCAGCGTGTCCCTGGCCAGCCAGCCACTCCTCTGCCCACCATGGACATGTGCGTGTCCAGCGTCTGTCTTGCATCTGCTGGAATCTCTGAAGGGGATTTGCTCTTCATCAGGAGCATCTGTGGAAGTAAATGTCCTGCTCTGTGGCGTGGCAGGGTGGGGGGTGGGGACCTGGGTGTGTGTGGGGGGTGAATGGAGGCTCTGAAATGCTTTCTGTGGGCAGGCAGGGCTCCTCCTTCAGAGCTTTAAAGAGAAGGGCTTGTTCTGAGATTCCCTTGGATGAAGGTGGATTCTCCCAGGGCCGCTGAGAGCCCCCAGGGCTCTCTGGGAACACATTGTGGCCGCTGCAGAAAACCACACCGCTCTGGAGACTGGCCCCCCAGCCCAGTGGCGGGCAGGGCTGTTGTGGCCCTGGAGGTCTCTGAGGGGCTTTTTATAGCAGGACTCATCTGAGGACAGATGAGGGTTTTGACTCCAGCCCCCGCCGCGGGAGGGGAGGGGAGGGCCCACTTCCTGGAGGCCTGTCAGTGGCGCAGCACGAGGTGCTGGGAGCCTGTTGGCAGAGTCCTGCTCTGCTTTCTGGGGCCGTTTCTCATCTGGGGAATATGAGGTGTAAATACTGGGGATCTCATTTTCTATGGATCCTGGGGAAGCCATGAGCAAGAGGAAGAAAGGGGAGAGAGAAGAGAAGCCCCTCTCTGGAGGTTGTGTGTGTGTGTGTGTGTGTGTGGAGGGTCTCTGCCTAGAGCTCCCAAATCTGTGGAAAGTCAGGGGTCAAGCCAGCCAAGACGGTGGTGCCAGGGGGACCTGTGTGTCCCTAAGAAGTCCCTGCACAGAATGTCCTCCCTCCAGTGCCTCCTGGTGGCCTGCTTTTGGGTACTGGTGGTGCCTTTTACCAAGGCAGATCATCTTGTTTGGGACATGTTTGCTGTTGTTTATACCTTAGGGTTAATGAGTTTGTGGTCTTTGAAAGAAAGAAAATGTTCAGTGACCCTTTTACTTGCATCGGTAGGTTATGGGGCTGGGTTTGGGGGTGCAGAGCAATCACCACGCTGCACCTCGAGGCAGGACCCTCTGCTCGGCAGCAGGCATCTCATTCGTGCCCCTCATACCAGGCCAGCCCACATGCTTCCCTCTCCACATGACTGATTCATCTCAGTCTTTTGTTTCTTTTGTTTTGGCTGCACCACATGGTTTGTGGGATCTTAGTTCCCCAACCAGGGATCGAACCTGGGCCCTTGGCAGTGAAAGCCCGGAGTCCTATCCACTGGACCATCAGGGAATTCCTTCTTGGTCTTCAAACTGAAAGTTCCAGGGATCCCCTTCACTCCCAGGCAGACCAGGATGGTTGGTCACCCTACTCCTTGTCCAGCTTGGCCCTGCCACTGTGTCCCAGGCTAGGAGCTGTGGTCCCCCCTGCAGAAGAGGAAGCTGGACCCAGGGCCTCCAAAAATTTCCACTCTACTGACCCCATCCCCAGTTCTGTCTGCTCCCCAAGCACCTTCCCCTGCTGGGATGGGGTGGGCCACCCTTCTGAGCAGCAGCCCCAGGAGTAGGTGCAGTACCTCCCTCCCAGCTGCCAAGACCTGCAGGTCCCACCCCCAGGGGTGGGGCTAGAATAGGCAAGCCTTGTCCTTGGCAAAGATCCTGCCTGCACCTTCCACCTGGGATCAGGTCAAAGGTTGGCTTCCCTACCAACCCCCACGGGAGATAGAACTGTCATCTTCAAGATGGCTCCTGGCTGGCTGCAGTTGGGTTCATGGTTCCCCACCTTTCAAAGCACCCAGTAGGCCTGTCAGTATGAAAATGGTTACACAGTGACCTACCTGGGTCTTGCTCCTCGCTCCCTGGGCTGCAGGAACCCACTCAAGCACTGATTCCATTGGTAAATCTGAGAAATGGGCTGGGAAGGCAGCTACAAGGGGCTGAAAGAGCAGGGCTTGGATGCCTGTGGTTCCACACATGTCAAGGCTGCAGTGCAGGAGACAAGCCTGACCACACCTGGCATGGGCGTGTCCCTAAGAGCCCCCACCTCTCCATCTGCCCGAGCCCAGGCCACACCTCCTTTTCCTGAAAGTTGGACCCCTCATACCTGTGTACAGCACCCGCCCAAGAAGTACAGCCTTCTGGGCAGGTGGCCGGAGAGCTAAGGCCTCACTGTGTGACCCTGGGCAAGTCATACCACTGCCCCTCCCACAGGCCCGTGATCTGCCCACCACACAGGACCAGGGCCACACGGGGCGCTTTGCCACGGGGCGACCAACGTGACGGGGTAGGGGCGGTTTGTTGTGATTCTCTGCTGAGACTCAGCCATGGTGGTTCTGTTCAGTGGTTCTGGGAGGCTGACCCTGGGCTGATGGCCCGAGGAAGGACTGGCAGGTCCACCCACCCATGTGGGACTGGCAAGGCCTCCCCTCGCAGAGGGCATGGGGCCAGTCACCGTTATCCACAATCAGAAAAGTGAAAGATTTTACTCTGGGGAGAAGCTGACAAAAACACTCATCTGTGATATGGGGGTGGGGCCAGGGATGCACTGGCCAGTATCCCCCAAGGCGGTGTAGGTCACCTGGGTCAGGAAGAGCTCGGCCTCATTTGGACACAGTCCTTGGAGAAAGAAAAGAGAAGTCAGGAGTGGTTGCAGGTAAGGAGCAGGGGGAGGGGGAGGCAGGGCTGGGGGACAACTGGTGGGGAGGGGCAGGCACGCAGCATCCAGGACTCCTTTGGCCGCCCGTCCAGAGAACCCTCCTCCATGCCAGCACCCTGGCTCCCCCAGGCGGACCCCCGGGCAGCTTGCGCACCCCACTCCCTGACTCGCTCCAGGAGCCTCTGGTGGATGTTTGGGGGAGCCATGCCCCAAAACTATTCAGAGGGAAATTTTTTTTTTTTTTAGTCTTTGTGGAATGTGATACAAGTATCAGAAGCACAGAAAGGGTAGAGGGCGCAACTGGACAACCTAGGGGGTGGAAAGGGAGAAAACGCGAAACGGAGAAGGAGGGACCAGTAAACCGTCCAAGGGGCAGAAACCACGCCAGGCTGCAGGACCCGCCAGGCAGGCGTGAGTAGGCCGGGCTCTGAACCCCAAATCAGGACGCTTTGACACCCCCGCCCCCTCCACCAAGTGCATAGGCAGTGAGCGCGGGAACCAAAGAGGCAGAAAGATGCCAAACAGGACAGAGCGGTCCTGGAGGATTCCAGGGCCATTGCTCCAAGTGCCTCATGGATTAGCCAGAAGTAAATACAAACAGTCAGGTTCTTTAAATATCCAACTCATAACTAATTACTGGTGGGAACAATCAACAGACAATAAAAAACCATGCACGCAATAAAATTTGGTTCCCATGAGAAAATTGGTCCTGGTAGAAATAATGGTCCCCAAAGAAAATGGACAGTGGCGTTAGCTGTAATTGGAACTGATTCTGATAAAATCATTTCAGCAAAATAAAAAGGAAAGTGATTGTTTTTAAAACCACTTTGTGTTGTATTGAAAATTGGTCAAGGAATTAAATTGGTTTAGTGGGAAATTCAATCTAGAAAGCTGTGTTCTCCATGACACGTAGCATGAGAAGGATTGTATTACAGGTATTTATATGACAGTTAAAACAGCTACTGGATCAAAATGAGCTCCTTACGGAGACCCTCCCCTAAGTCCAGGGCCCCTGCACCTTCCCCAGACTAGGCTCAGGGCAGGGTCTCCACCTGCTCGGGGGAGGGGGCGACGCTGGCACTGCAGGCTCACAGCTTGGTGGGCTCCTTGGTGGACTGCATGCCGGCTTGGGACTCAAGGCGCAGAGGCCTTGGGTGCCCGGCAGGCCCTGGGGCCGGCTGGGGATCCTGCAGGGATGGCATCAGCTGTGGCAGCAGTGGCAGGGGAGGCAGAGACGGAGGCTGAGCTGGCATGTCGGCTGGGGGCCTGAGGTGGCTGAGCCCATGCTGGTTTGGGGGGGGCAGGCTGCTGGGGGGCAGGTGAGACCCATGATGTGTCCCAGGAATATTCTGGAGAGAGGCTGGCCCGATGGGGTCATCTTCTCCACTAAGGAGAAGAGAAGCCCCAAGACTGGAAGTGCTCCACCTCTGCTCACCCAGTCCAGGCACCTGACACTTCCTGGGTTTGGGGGGCGGCCCAAGATAAATGAAACCAGAGGTGGACACAGAAGTGGAGCAGGGCAGCCGAGAGGACACAGGACTTGGAGTCCAGGATATGGACTTTGGCCCAGCTCTTGCATTCCCCAGTTCACGGTCGTGCGCCTCAGCTCCCCCACTTTAAAATGGGCTAGCTGTGCTCACCTCAGCATCCTGGTTAACGAGATAAGGACTGGGTGAGATGAGAAGGGAGGAAGTGCTTTGTATGCTGTAAAGTGCTCTCAGATGCCTGGTACGTGGTGATGTGACCAGAGGAGTCATGAGCTCAGTTGCCCCCAACTTGGCTCACGGGCCCTCAGCAGAGAGGCCCGAGGGAATGAACAGGCTCCCTCATCCCAGCTCTGCAGCCGGCTGGACCCCAGGGCACAGACACCTGGCTTGGACCCCAGGGATGGCTTCTGGGCCAGGAAACCTGGCTGAAGGGTAAAGGTGGAGCCCAGGATGGCTGGAGGCCCTGGCCAGGGTGCTGGGTGCCAGGTGGGGGCCACTCGAGGGATCTTCTCTGGCCCAGGTCTGGGCAGGGCAGGTGAGATATGGATGAGGTGGGGTAGGAGAGCCCCAGGCTGGGACTGGGGGGCCCAGAGACCCTGCAAGAATCCCAGCTGGGCCAGGGAGTTGGGGGGCAGGTACTCACAGGGGTAGATGGCACCGAATAAGGCACTCGGGCGCACACCCTCATATGGGCTTCGAGCTGGGGGATGCGGAACCTTAACAGCTTGGTGGAAAAGAAAGGGGAAGAGACAGGAGCTGGTGGGGGGCGCTTCCAGGGCTCTGCCCCACCCTGGAGGCCCTTTCGCTCTGGTAGGACCTGCCCTGCTGCCCCCCGCCCCACTACCCGCTGCCGCCTCTTCACATACCCAATCCCTACCCAGTCATGCAAGGAAGACCCTTCCTCCCTCCCCACCTTCGTAAGTCTAGCGCTTCTAAAAGCTGAGATGTCAGAAAAAGGCTTTTTGAAAGTAACTCAAGGCCAAGGAGGAGAGAGACATTATTTTAGCATGAAAAGATACAGGTGACGTGCTGGCCAGCCTGACAGTTCTTCAGCTGTTCCCACCAGGACCAGGCCACCACAGTGCCCCACCCCACCTTCCTGGCCTTCATCTTCTGTGCATGCATATTTTTCTGAGGTAAACTTCACATAAAATTAACCATTCAAAGTGAACAATTCAGTGGCATTAAGTGTATTCACAAGGCTTTGCAACTGCCATCTCCATCTGGTTCCAGAATACTTCATCATGCCCAAAAGAAACCTGTACCCATGAGGCAGTCACACACACCCCCATTCACCCCTCCCCCGAGCACCCAGCAACCGCTAATCTGTTTTCCGTCTCCGTAATTTGCCTGTTCTGGACACATCATGGCGGGGGGGATCACACAATATGTGGCCTTTGGAGTCTGGCTCCATCCTTCACTTTTGAACCCAAGGCGTCCCCCTCTCCCCGTCCAGCCAAGAGTCACCATGACCGGCCATCCGGACCAGAGACCGCTGTACGAGGTGGGAACGTGCAGGGAAAAGAGGCCATGAGAGCGAATATGCAGGAAGGACGGGGGTGGTGGTGGTGTTGGGGGGTCGCAGACGGCTGAGCAGGGCACCAAGTCTGGAGGGGATGGGCCAGGCCTCCCACCTGGGACGAATTACAGGGGCACGAAGCTCCTTCCCATGCAGGACCCTGACGGTTCCTTCTGCTTGGACGACTGTGTCCTTCCCTGGCTGTCTCCTGACCTTCATTTTCAGAGAGTCCTTCAGACCACATGCTCCACAGGGACAACCTCCCGACCCCAGTCATTCTCTCCCTTATTTCCATGTTTCATCTTTTTTTTTTTTGGCCACACTGCACGGCTTGTGGGATCTTAGTTCCCCGACCAGGGATTGAACCCGCGCCAGAGGTAGGACCTGCCAACCAGCCAACCAGTGAGACGGTCATACTGCTTCCCTCCAAGGTGAAGCACATGAGCCTGGGATACAGATACAGAACCAAGACCCATTGAGGCCTGGGAACCCAGCTCTGAGCCTGCACTCTCCCTGAAGGCCCACAGACACCTTGGATGCAGAGGCCCAAACCGGAACTTGCCACCTGACCCCAATATCTGCTTCTCCCACAATCTCCTCCACGGCTTTCCCACCTCTGCAAGAGCCAAAAGCCAAGCAGCTGGGAGGTTCCTGACGGGAGGGGACATTTGAGCCCTGGCAGATGAGAAATGTTCCTCAGGGATTCCAGGCAGAGCTCATGGCACATGCAGGGGCTCAGACGGGGGTAACAGCCTGGATCGTTGAGAGAGCAAGCAAGCAGTTTTGTTTTGTTTTGTTTTTTGTTTTTGCGGTACGCGGGCCTCTCACTGTTGTGAGAGGCCTCTCCCGTTGCAGAGCACAGGCTCCGGACGCGCAGGCTCAGCGGCCATGGCTCACGGGCCCAGCCGCTCCACGGCATGTGGGATCTTGCCAGACCGGGGCACGAACCCGTGTCCCCTGCATCGGCAGGCGGACTCTCAACCACTGTGCCACCCGGGAAGCCCAAGCAAGCAGTTCTGGGAGGCTGGAGGCAGGGAGCAGATGAGGCTGGGGCGGGGAGTGGCCAAGGGGCCCTGCAGACCAGCCAAGGAGATCGGACTCTGGGGACAATGCACCTCAAGACATCCTTAGGACATCCTGTCCTAATCCCCAGAACCTGTGACTATGTCACCTTACATGGCAGAGGGGGCTTTGTAAATGTTATCAAGTTAAGGATCTTGAGATGGGGAAATGATCTTGGATTAACTGGATGGGTCCAATGTAATTATAAGATTCTTATGAGGGGAGGCCAGAGGGTCAGAGTCAGAGAAGGAGATGTGAGGACAGACACTGAGGTCAGAGAGATGCACTTTGAAGATGGCAGAAGGGGCCACGAGCCAAGGAATGTGGGAGGCCTCTGGAAGGACACGGAGTCTCCCCTTGAGCCTCAGAAGGAACCAGCCCTGCAGACACCTCGATCTTAGCCCTGTAAGATTCACTTCTGATCTAATCTCCAGAACTAAGATAAAACAAACTTGGATAGTTTTAAGCCCCTGTTTGTGGTAATGTTACAGCAGCCATAGGACACTCACCCTGCCGGGTTCTGAGCGGGGAGGGGCCTGGTCAGGAGCAGGTTTGAGACCATTCACTCAATGCTGGTGAGGACGGTGAGGCTGGTGAGGCATCTCCCCCTCCATCTGCTCCCCTGCTGCCTCTGCCTACCTGAGCCCTGCCTGTACTTAGCCCCCCTTCCACTGAGACCTCTCTGGAAGTCCAGCCTCATGCTGGGGGCACTGCTTACTAGGGCTCAAGCGTTCCTCTGCCTGGCCTGAGATCCTGACCACTGCGCAGGCATCAGGAGGGCACAGGCTGGCTGGACGGCCCTTGATGGCCCTGTGGGCAAAGGATGGATGGATGCATCTGGGATCAGGCTGGACCTGGGAGGGGGGCTCACATCAGCTAGTTTAGGTTTAGATATTGAGTGTGTTTTGGATTAGAATTTTCTTTTGAGTAAAAAAATGTGCAATGAGACAAACTGGTCAAAAGATCCAGCCACAGGTGGGTTTCGAATTGATTCCAATTTCTAGTTAGACTTTGTGGCCCCCAAGCAGGATAAAGCAATTGAGGCATCCTGATCCACTCCTGCTTTGCTGCATGGGTCTGGAGAACAAACAAGCCCTGGGGAGAAGAGCCCCTCGCTCTTGATGACAGCCCTGGGGAGCTGGGTGGGGATGCCATCCGATGGATGACTGGAGACGAAGGGCGGGTCTGTAGATGACCCTGACCCCTCCACCAAGGGTGGGCTCCTGGCAAGAGACCCTCACCCGCTCATTTGTGTAATGCCTCACCAGCTGGTGCAGGGTGAGAGGAGGCAGTGCAGGACCTGGCAAGAAGTTGAGCTCATTAAATATTGGCCACCATTGCTGTTATCCTGCCTGGTGATCCCAGGGGCCCAGCCTGAGTTTCTTCTCGACAGCATCTGCGTCCGGGGGCATCGTCCAGGTGGAGCCATTAACACTGTAAGGGCCACATCTGTGCCCCAGGGGGAATGCAGGGTTCAAGATGGTGACCTGCTCCCTGGACCAGGGCAGGGGCCTGTAGTGGGTTGAATGGCAGCTGCCCAAAAGATGTGTCCCCCTGGAACCTGTGAATGTGACCTTGTTTAAAGAAAAGGTCTCTGCAGATGTAATTAAGTGAAGGATCTTCAGATGAGGGTATCTGAGTTAAGAGACAGATGAGAAGAAGACACAGGGAGAAGCCACACGAAGAAGGAGGCAGAGACGGGGGTGATGCAGCCACAAACCCAGAAATGCCTGGAGCTCCCAGAAGTTGGAAGAGGCAGAAAGGATCCTCCACTAGGGCCTTCAGAGGGAGCACGGCTCTGCCAACACCTTGATTTTGGATTTCTGGCCTCCTGTACTGTGAGAGACAATTTAAGACAATTTCTATTGTCTTAAGCCGCCCAATTGGTGGTCATTTGTTGCAGCCCCGGGACACTAAAGCAGGGTGCTGTCCTCTCTGTCCAGCACACCCAGGAAAAGAGTACCCTTTCCTTTGCTTAGGGGTCTGGTGGTTGTTCTCAAGTCAATGGAGGCAAAGTGGGGTGAGGAGGGACACCATGGGCGGAATTTAACCTGCTGACCACTTTGTGGCTCCTGGACCAGCCCCAGTAGGGCAGTGTGTGGAACCCCTCTTCCCAGAGCAGGGTAACCTCACAGGGGCAGGCAGAGAAGGTATTGCTGGCCCAGTGCAGGAGCTGAGTCCCAGGGTCCCTGGTCGGAGCCAGCTGGAGCCAGGGCCTCGACACTGCAGTAACCAGAGCAATTCATTCCATGTCTCCCTCTGGCCCAACCCTCCCCAACCCGTGACAATTAGGACACAGGCCTCCAGTCTGTCCTGGCGTCCTCCTCATCATGCTCAACCCCAGCCCGATCTTCCCACTCCAGGGAGACTCACATTCCCGAGTTCCTAAGTGTGCCTGCCTTCCACCCACCACAGGGCCTTTGCACTGCTATTCCCTTCCCCCAGATCACTCTCCTCCCACCTGATCCCTTTATCCAGCTAAGCCTTATTCCCTTTTCAGAGGCCTCAGGACAGCAGTCTAGGACCTCCTCCTTGAACCAGTGTCCCTTGTCACAACTCTCCCATCACCACAAAGCATTCTTCTTTGGGGAGGCCATCCAGTACCCCTCCCCAGCATCCCTTGTCACAAGCTGTCCCAGTACAGTACCTGGCATACAGCAGGATCCCGTGTTTGCGAGTGGCTGTGTGAGGAACCCCCAGTCTCGGATGTTGCTGGCTCTGGGCCCCACCTGCATCACACTGGGCCTCACAATGCCCAGCAAAGGCAAGGCACGGGTCAGGGGTGCCCAGGAAGGCCTGATGCTCCTCACCTGCCAGCTCCTTCTCTGTGTCGGTCAGAGGCCGCGCCCTGTCCTTGCTGTTCATTCAGCCCTTGTACAGGATCCCGTCCACTCCCAGGATGTCCACCTCGGCCTGTTGGGCAGCCCGGGGCCCCGGGTAAGGGAGTGTTCACAGAGACAGCAGGGCCTGGCTTACCCCAGGGTTGCCCACAGCCAGGGGCTGCAGCCTGACTCATGGAATCATAGTCCAACAACTCAGGGTCCCTGTAGGGGGAGATTGTCGACAAGTTACATGATTTGAAATCAAGGTTGGCATCATTTCCGGGGCCATCACCCCAGTCCTGCTGGGAGCCCAGCGAGTCCAGGCTCCCCTCCAGGGCTGCAAGGTTCTGGAGCTTCTGCAGCTGCTGCTGTTCCCCAGGGCAGGGCAGGGGGGTCAGCAGCCACTTGGAGACCCCTCCGCCCCAGAGGAGCCTCAGGTTGGGTCCGAGGCCCTGGCCAGTAGCGAGGGAAGACTGGAATTTCTTCCAGCTTCAGCTTGGGTAATGCAGCCGGGCAGGCCTGGGGCCTGGTGTGTGGATACAGACAGGCACCGTCGGGGCAGAGGGCAATTGAGACCCATGTTCTCCCAGACCTGGAGCCCTGGTCTGGCTTGCCAAATGCAGGCTCTTAACCTCTTTCTTTTTTTTTTTTTGGCCGCACTGTGTGGCATGTGGGATCTTAGTTCCCTGACCAGGGATCAAACCGGCGCCCCCTGCAGTGGAAGCGCAGAGTCTTAACCACTGGACCGCCAGGGAAGTCCCTCTTAACCTCTCATCCCAAGAGGGAGTCAGGCGAGTGAGGGTGGGGGCACCGGGCACAGGCCCCCATGTCCCTCCCCTTCATGTGGCTGTGGCTGCTATTCAGCCATCACTCCCCACCTGGCCAGACGTACCCTCGGGCCTGGGGGCCTGGGAGCCAGAAGCACCCATGAAGCTGTGGGGTGTCAGGGGATGAGGGGCAGGGCTGGGGCCCAGGGAGCTAGCCGTGGGCAGAGGAAACCTGCAGGTTTAGGTGCCAGAGCCCGCCACTCACTAACTGTGAGACCTCAGGTGGGTTGCTCAAGCTCTTTGAGCCTCGGTTTCAACTGTGAAATGGGATGATAGCAGAATGACCTCAGAGATAATGTGTAAGGATTCAACGAGGTCAGGTCTGTCACAGAGGTTGGCACAGTGCCTGCCTGGCCGCAGCAAGCCCCACAGAGGACCCAGGGTCATGAGTCACTTCTTCCAGCGGGAAGCAGGCCCATCAACCCTAGCTCACAGGGGGGTGTGAGCTTTAAATGGGGGGTGTGAGCTCCCTCCCTTAACAGTTCTTGGCCCATGACAGATGCCCAATAACCTGTCCGTTCCTCTCCCCATGAGCACCTCACGTGCCCGTCTGCAGCCCCACCACCCAGGACGGCTACCCTGCAGACGGCTACAGTGCCCCAGGCAGCTTTTGCATCTTGGAACTGGAGTTTGCGTCTCTGTTGGCGCCTGGACCCCCACCTGCTCACCTCACCTGTTGCCGCTGCAGGTACTCGTAGCTGTTGGCACTGGCCGGCCGCAGCCGCGACAGCAGGCGGGCACTGTGGATGGTGATGAGTTGCCTGTGGAGGACAAGAGCTAAGTGGGAGGCGCACATGGCCAGCAGAGGGCCCAGCTTCCACCTCTTCCAGGAAGCTCGCCCTCAAACACAGCCTTCCCTCTAGAAAGATCCACAGCATGGGGCCACCACCCTCTTCATAAATCATAAAGAACAGCTGTTCTGATAATAAAAGGAAAACCCCCGAACAGGTGAGTCCTAGAAGTGGGATGCAGGTTGGAGGTTGGCAGGGGTGGGTGGAGGGGGATGGGGAATGATTGCTTATGGGCACGGGGTTTCCTTCCGGTGGGTGGAAAGGTTCTGGCAGTAGATTGTCCGAGGTGGTGGCGGCACAATATTGTCAATGTACTAAATGCCCCTGAACTGTTAACTTTAAAATGGTTAATTTATATTATGTGTATCTGACCTCAGTACAAGAAATAAAAATAGTAAAAACATCAGCCTTCTGAGGAGCTGGAACTGTTCTACTTCTTGATCTGAGTGGTGGTTACCAAGGTGTGTACACATGTTAAAACCCATCAAGTTGTAAAACAAACGTTTACATACTTTACTGTATGCATGTTAAGCCTCAATAAAAATTTAAAGTCATGCATATTGTCAGCATTTTAGAAAGTATAGAAAAACACAAAGAAATCACTGTAACCACTGTAATCAAATATTTTGATATGTGTCCTTCCAGTATTTTTCCATGTTTGTTTTTTTTTTAACAAAAATAGGATCATAACACACATCCTACTTGTTTTTCTCATTTAAGTTACTGCAAACGTTTTTCCAGGTCATTAAACATTCTTTTGTGACTGTGCCATCCAATATGGCAGCCACTGGCCACATGTGGCTATTTAAATTAACTAAATTTATTTTAAATTTTAATTAATTAATTAATTTATTTTTGGCCACGCCGTGTGGCATGTGGGATCTTAGTTCCCCAACCAGGAATAGAACCCGTGCCCCCTGCAGTGGAAGCACACAGTACTAACCAATGGACCACCAGGGAATTCCCCATATTAACTAAATTTAAATAAAATTAAAAATTAAGTTTCTCTATCTCATTAGCCATCTTTCAAGTGCTCCACAGTCAAATGTGGCCAGTGGCTACTTCACTGGACAGCACAGCTATGGAACATACCCCCCCACATCTCAGAAGGTTCTACGTAAGGCCTTCCTCTACGACTTGCCTTACTGGCTGATGTGAACGTACCGTGACTCACTCACCACTTCAGGTTGTTTCCTTTCCTCTTTTTTTGAAAAAAAAAATATGGGTTAGGCAGGGATAAATTAGGAGTTTGGGATTAACATATACACACCACTATATATAAAACAGATAACCAACAAGGACCTACTGTATAGCACAGGGAACTCTACTCAATAACTTGTAATAACCTATAAGGGAAAATAATCTGAAAAAGTGTGTGTGTGTGTGTGTGTGTGTGTGTGTGTGTGTATATCTATATATCTATATATCTATATATCTATATCTATCTCTGAATCACCTTGCTGTACACCTGAAACTAACACAACATTGTAAATCAACTACACTTCAATAAAAATATTATAAATAATGCTGCGATTTTGAAAGAAAAATTCTGGCTGTATCTCCCAACATGGCCAGGTGTGGGGTGGTGAGCTTCACGGGTCACCAGGAACAGCCTAGCAGCGCAGAGGCCATGGGTACTGCAAGATCCTAGGTGTGTCCACACAGTGGGATATTATTCAGCCATAAAATGGAATGAATCACTGACACAGGCTACAATGCAAATGAACCTTGAAAACATCATGCTCAGTGAAAGAAGCCAGACACACAAGGCCACATACTGTATGATTCCATTTATACAAAACGTCTAGAACAGGCCGATCCGTAGAGAGAGTGAGTAGATTGGTGGTTATCAGGGGCTGGGGGAGGGGAATGGGAGTAAGTGCTGACGGGTCAGGATTTCCTGGGGGAGATGGAAATATTTTTGAATTAGAGGTGAATGTGCACTAAATCCCACTGAACTGTTCACTTTAAAATGGTTGATTTTATAAGTGAATTTCACCTTGATAAATAAACAAAAGTATTAGACTATAAAAATATGTGCAAGGAAGTCCCACAAAGTTCAGCTTTTCCCCAGAGTTTCCTTTCATCCTTTTCCTCTTGGAGTTGACCCTGCCCCTGGACACAGCGGGCACCAGACAGGGCTGGTGAAGGGAGGGATGCTAGCACCTTGCCCAGGTCAGAGGCTAATGAAATGATGTGTATAGAATGGTGTACACGATGTACACGTCACAGATGATCCCCGGCGGTACTCACGGGCAGGTCATCATGTTCACGGGCCGGTGGCCGGAGATAGATTTCACCCGCTCAAACAGTTTCCTGGAAGACACCCAGCTCCGTCAGCTGCTGCGCCAAACCAGGCCCTACGAGGCCACGCCTGTCCCAGGCAGTGCTTGCGGCGGAAGCTGCAGGTCCATCTGTGCCTCAGGGCCAGGGCTTCCCCCACATCCTACTCCCACTGGCCCAGCCCCTGCGCTCAGCTCAGCTCTACTGGCCCCTGCTGACCCCCATGTGCGGCCACTTGGGGCAGCAGCAGGCGTAAAAGTGTGTTTAGTTTCTCTCCTTGCCCCAAACACAAAGGAGGTCTTTAAAACCAGGGAAAGCAACTCTTCACAGTGGACATTTGGGAGCATGAGGGGTGATCTGAGGACAGGAGCACCCCCAGGAACATCAAGTCCCTCTGCCTGGGGCTCTGTCTGGAGCGGGTGGGGGCCTGGCTCTAGTCCCAGATCTGCCCAGGCTCCCTCTGGGGAGCCCCTTCCCTCTCTGAGCCTAGGTTTCTTCACATGAGCACCTGGAGCCCCCTCTGCACTCAAGGGCAGGCCTGCCCACCTCTGAGCCCCTGGGTGCTCGCAGCCCCATCGCCCAACCCAGCAGCTGGGAAGCCCCGCCCCCTCTCTCTGGGTCCACAGGTCTGAAATCCTTCCTCCCAGAGTTCAGAATCCACTGGGATACCCCTCTTGTTTCCTCTCTGGAAAGAGAGACTCCTAGCCTCTGGGAGCTGCACCCCTATCCGGGAGAGGCTCACTTCCTAAAGCCGGCAGCACTGTTGGGGTCAAACCAGAAGCCTTCAATCAGCAGCTTCCTGACTACTTTCCAGACCTCATCCATGTCTTTCTTCAGATCGTCCAAATCACTGGGAACCAGCTGTGAACAGCCAAAGAAAAGAGACTTTAGTCAATTAATTCACACTCTGCCTTGCTCCAGAAAAGGATTTGCAGCAACTTGCAAAGTTATGTAGAGTGTAACAAGATTAATCAAGAAAAGTGAAGTAGTGAAGGAAAGGGAAAATGACAACGCTTGGGTTAAGGCTCAGACCCGTAATGCATGCTTTTCCTGGAGGGGAGCTGCAAAGTGAGCTTCCCGGCAGCCAAGGCAAGGAAACACCGTCAGTTACTGCCTCCAAAAGACAAACCAACCCCACTGCTATTCTGAGTGCAGGCCCGAGAAACATTCTCCTGATGGCTCCAAGACACCTGACCTTCACGCATTCAACACCTATTTAATGAGTGTGAAGTGTATATTCAATGGCTTTTAGTACATTCACAGAGCTGTGCAACTATCACCACAATAAGTTTTAAAATGTTTTCATCATCGCAAAAGAAATCTCATACCCCTTAGCAGTCACCTTTCTTTTCATCCCAAACCCCCAGGCGTAGGCAACCACTAATCTACTTTCTGTCTCTATGGATTTGCCTATTCTGGACACTCCAGATAAATGGAACCACACAATCTGTGTCCTTTTGTGTCTGGGTTCTTTCATTCAGCATCATGTTTTCAAGGTTCATCCATGTTATAGTGTGTAGCTGTACTTCATTCCTTTTTATGGCTGAATAATGTTCATTATATGTATATACCACATTGTGTTTATCCGTTCATCTGTTGATGGACATTTGGGTTGTTTCCACCTTTTAGCTATTGTGGAAAATGCTGCTGTGAACATTGGTGTGCAAGTTTTTTTTGTGGGCTGTTTTCATTTCTCTTGGGTATATCTACCTAGGAGTGGGAGTGCTGGGTCGTATGGCGACTCTATGCCTAACTTTTAAGAAACTGCCAGACTCTTTTCCATGGCGGGAATTTTGAATTTTTAAAGTGTTCCTTCCAGTGCCCAGATTTTGGTCCCTAAACAGCATTCCCCCTAAAGGCACCAAGACTCCACAGAGAAATGGCTGATTCAGGTCTGAGGAAGGGAATGTAGAAGATGAGCCTGGAACATCTTGTCATAAGAAAGCAGGACAGCTATCCAAGACAGAGGGTCACGTCAAGGGGCTCAGGGGCCAGCTTGCAAGCCTAAGATGAGACCATGTGAGCGACAAAACAGTAACTTAACTGATTGAACAAAGTGAATATTTAAAAACTCATGATTCATAGTGACACCCACAAAAAAGAAAAAAAATAGAAACCCTCATTTGCCGCCATGTATCGGAGGTGGCTACCGCACCAATATTTTACCCTGAAAACTGGTAATTAAAGGAAATAATTCACCATTATCTGTCTTTCCTGCAAGAACCCTATTTCAGGGTTATCAGCTCAAGTTGATGAGGGAAAGCTCTTCTTTACAGATTTATAGCTGATATAGAAGCAATGCTAGGATTAGAAAAATCACCATTTTGTAACCCTTAATGAAATAATGGGTTCAGGCAACAATCCTTAACTTAGGAGGAAACTATCAATACCAGGAGAATGGCCAACGAGGCAATGGCCATTCCCAGAGTGACAGAGAGTTACCCCCAAATTACTTGCTGCTTATAAGGGGAGAATATACGTTTACACTGGTGGTATCAGCTGGGCTAGCACCGCTGGGCCCTGACGAATCTTCACTCCGGAAGGGACCACCTGCCAGCATCGACTTACCTGCTAATCAAACACTACAGGAAGCGCATGGCATACCAAGAAGATTCTTTTCCCCAACATTCTAAACTTAAAAAAACTCAAAAACTTAAAAAAAATTATTTATTTTTGGCTGCGTTGGCTCTTAGTTGCAGCATGAGGGATCTTTCATTGCAGGGCACGGGCTCTTCGTTGTGGCATGCGGACTTCTCTGTAGTTGTGGCATATGGGCTCCAGAGCACACGGGCTCTGTAGCTGTGGCACGTGAGCTCTCTAGTTGTGGCATGCAGGCTCAGTATTTGTGGCACACAGGTTTAGTTGCCCCGCGGCATGTGGGACCTTAGTTCCCAGACCAGGGATTGAACCCGCGTCCCCTGCATTGGAAGGCGGATTCTTAACCAGTGGACCACCAGGGAAGTCCCTCAAAAACTTTTTTTTTAATTAATTTATTTTATTTATCTATTTTTTGCTGCATTGGGTCTTCGTTGCTGCGCACGGACTTTCTCTAGTTGTGGCAAGCGGGGGCTACTCTTCGTTGCGGTGCACGGGCTTCTCATTGCGGTGGCTTCTCTTGTTGTGGAGCACGGGCTCTAGCCACGCAGGCTTCAGTAGCTGTGGCTCGTGGGCTCTAGAGCGCAGGCTCAGTAGTTGTGGCACACGGGCTTAGTTGCTCCGCAGCACATGGGATCTTCCTGGACCAGGGATCAAACCCGTGTCCCCTGCATTGGCAGGTGGATTCTTAACTACTGCGCCACCAGGGAAGCCCCCCCTCAAAAACTTTTAAACCTACAGAAAAGTTGCAAGAATAGTCCAAAGGACACTCCTATATCCACTGAAATTCACCAATTTTTAACATTTTGTCATGTTTTCTTTTTCTATACATATGTATGTGTGTTTTTGTTTTTTTCTGAGCCATTTGAGAGTTAATTGCAGACATCACTATATATCACCCCCACAAAAACTTAAACACAGAATTACCATACGACCCAGCAATTCCACTCCTGGGTAACTACCCAAAGTAGCTGAAAACAGGTGTTCAAACAGAAATTTGTATGTGAATGCTCATAGCAGCATTATTCAAAAGGTGGAAATAACCCAAGTGTCCATCAACAGAGAACAAACAAACAAAATGTGGTCTATCCATTTGATGGAATATTATTCAGCCTAGAAAGAAATGAAGTTCTGGGACTTCCCTGGTGGTCCAGTGGTTAAGACTCTGCCTTCCAATGCAGGGGGCACAGGTTCAATTCCTGACTGGAGAACTAAGATCCCACACGCCATGCAGTGTGGCCAAAAAAATTAAAAAAAGAAAAGAAAAGAAAAGAAGTTCTGGTTCATGTTACAACATGAATAAACCTTGAAAACATGATGCTGAGTGCAAGAAGCCAGACACAAAAGGTCACATACTGTGATTCATTTATATGAAATGTCCAAAATAGGGTAATCCAGAGACAGAGAGTAGATTAGTGGTTGCCAGGGGCTGGGGGAGGGGGGAGTGAGGAGTGACTGCTTGATGGACCTGGGGTTTCCTTTGGGGGGATGGAAATGCTCTGGAACTAGATAGAAATGGTGCCCACACAACACTGTGAATGTAACAAATGCCACAGAATTAGTCACTTTATAATAGTTAATGGTTAATTTTATGTCATGTGAATTTTACCACAATTAAAATACACAAAGAAAAGAAGAGCAATGAGGATAGGATCACTTCAACCAACAAACAACAAAAAAGCTTTCAATCAGGAAAAAAATTCAGACACATAGAGAGGAGAAAAGACTAGAATCATGAACCCTGATATACCCACCATGTAGATTTAATCATTATTAACATGTTGCTACATTTGCCTTTTTTTCTTTGTTTCTTTTTTTTTTTCCATGCCATGCAGCTTGTGGGATCTTAGTTCCCCAACCAGGGATCGAACCCGTGCCCCCTGCAGTGGAAGCACAGACTCCTAACCACTGGACCGCCAGGGAATTGATGGAGTGTTTTTTTAAAAAGTTACAGAAATCATAACATTTCACTCAAATACTTTAGTTATTTACTTACATGCCTGCAATACCATTATCCCATCTAACATAATGAGCAGTCATTCTTGACGTTGATCTAATTCCCAGCCCATTTTCAGAGTTGGAGCAACTGAACCAGGAAACAAAGTAAGTCTCCTCGTGTGTTGCATTTGGTTGTTGTGCCCCTTGAGACTCTCTTAATCTAGAACAGTCTCTGTCCTACTTTTTTTCACCCTGCCATTGAATTATGGAAGAAAAACAGGTTAGTTGTTCTGTAGATAACTGAGTTACCCCGGCTGTAATCCTGCATTGATTTGTATGATTTCTATGACAAGTGTGTTCCATATCTGTTTTGCTTATCGTCATATCCTCGCTAACCAGCATCAGAGGTACCCAATAGGTGGATGATGAGTGAATAAATCCTCATTTTACAGATGAGAAAACTGAGGCTCGAAGAGGTTCTATAACTCAAGGCATACTGCCAATCATGGTGGGGCTGCAACTCGGACCCAGAGCTGTCTGATTCTAAACCCAAGCTCTTTTGTCCTCACCAGCCACCCCAGCTGCAGGAACCACACAATGCTGATATGGCTGGCCTGACTGTTCCTGTCTCTCTATTGGATGGTACACATTAAGGCTATGACTTCTTATCAACATTTCCCCAGGATCTGGCTCAATACAGGTGATCATTAAATGATGAATAAACGAATGACCAGCAGGACACCCCCTCTGCCCGCCATGTCCCTTTGCTTGCGTTATGGTGGTCAGCCTCCAAGATGCTCCACAACTATACCTCTTGGTATTCACACCCCCATATGGTCCCCTCTCGCACTGAACAGGGCTGACCTGTGTAACCAACAGGATACTACAGAAATGATGGAGTGTGACTTCTGTGGCTAAGTCATCAAAGATGTTGCAGCTTCTGTCTTGCTCTCTTGGACCATGTGCTCTGGGTGGCCCACTGGCTGCCATGTTGTGAAGCCAGTCAAGCAGCCCTAAGGAGGATCCGTGTGATAAGGAAGTGAGGAGTCTTGCCCACAGCCATGTGAGGGCGCCATCTTGGAAGCAGCTCTTCCAGCTCTAGTCAAGCCTTCATATGACAGCAGCCCTGGATGACATCCTGACTACAGCCTCGTGGGAGACCCTGAGCTACTCAGCTAAGCTGTTCCCAAATTCTTAACCCTCAGAAACTCTGAACGTTTGCTGTCTTAAGGGACTAAATTTCAGGGTAGTTTGTTACGCAGAAGGTGGTGACTAATACAGGGGTCCTCACCTTGGTGCGTAGGTCTTTGTCCAGCTGCTCCACAGTCTTCTTCCAGTCATCCTCATTGGCCATAACCCTGAAGAGCATGCCCTGAATCGTCTCATTCAGCTCCATCGCCACTGCGTCCAGGTCAGCCCGGCTTCCCTTGCCTGCCAGGGAGCGCCTGTCGGCTTTCTAGAGAGAGATGGGACTCAGGGAGGCAGGGCTGCTGGGGTGGGAGCAGGAAGAGGCTGGGGGAGATCAGACCACTTTGGTCAGTTTTTCTAGTTTGGGACCCTAGATACCCAGCCTTGGCTTAAATTCAACCTTGGGGTCTCTGTTGGCTCAAACACAACCATTAGATTGAAGCAAAGGTTTTCTGTGATGGAGAAGTTGGGGCATGGTTTTTAAATTCACATAAATTGTCACAAACTCTAATTCAAAAAGATACATGCACTCTATGTTCATAGCAGCACTACTCACAATAGCCAAGACATGGAAACAACCTAAATGTCCATCAACAGATGAATGGATAAAGAAGATGTGGTACATATATACAATGGAATATTACTCAGCATTAAAAAGAACAAAATAATGCCATTTGCAGCAACATGGATGCAACTAGAGATTATCATACTAAGTGAAGCCAGAAAGAGAAAGACAAATACCATATGATATCATTTATATGTGAAATCTAAAATATGACACAAATGAACCTATATATGAAACAGAAACAGAATCATGGACACAGAGAACAGACTAGTGGTTGCGAAGGGGGAGGGGGTTGGGGGACGGATGGAATGGGTTGTAACTATTATATATAGGATGGATAAACAAGAAGGTCCTACTGTATAGCACAGAGAACTATATTCAATATCCTATGATAAACTATAATGGGAAACAATGTTAAAAAAGAATGTATACGTATATGTATAACTGAATCACTTTGCTGTACAACAGTAATTAACATAACATTGTAAATCGACTATACTTCAATTTTAAAAAATTGTCACTAATCCTGAGTTAACTGAAAATAGGACTTGATGGAACAACTTTTGAGAACTTCCCCCAAACTTTCTACATGATAAAGGTGGAAGGAGACTCCGGAAGTCTGCCTGCCTTTGTCTTGGCTGGATGATTCCATTATCCTGGTGGGAAAGCTGGGCTCAGGATAGGGGAGGGGGTAGGGAGAGGAATCTCTGCTCACTCACCTCTTTCAGCTCCTGCTCCATCACACTGTTGTCTGCCTTGTACATTTCTAGGTTTTTAATCCGAGAATGGACAACCTAAGAACAGAAGCAGAGGGCATGTCAGCTATCCTCGGAAGTCCTGAGGATAGCCTCTACCTCCCACATCCACCCTAGGAAGGGACAATGGGGCCAGGTGGACAGCAGGCGGGTGGCACATTGGAAGGCTTGGGCTCCAGGTGCCCAGATCAGAAGGGAAGGAACGTGGGACTTGGCACAAGAAGTCCCCTTGGAGGTGGCCTCACAGAACTACAGGTGGCTACACAGGAAAGGAAGGAAGACCTGAGGAAGGAAAGCATAAACAAACGCTGATGCTTTGGGTCCCTAGATGTTTAAGACAAGTGCATCTCTTCTGATCTGTAATGGGATCCCCGTGAAAATGAGAGTCAATTCATCCACCAAGCACTTATATGCCACACATGCTGTGCCCCAGGGTCAGGGGAAAACCTTATTTCCCATCCCCATGACTCCATGAAAAAACAACTCCCTGCATTAATTCTGCCCTCTCTCCACTTATTGGGCCCTCCCTATGACAGCAGCAACCAGCTAACCTGCTTGGGAAGAGCCTCACATCCAATGGGCCATGTCCCCAGAGGGTAGGGTCACTCCTCCTCCAAAGCTGGCAGCAGGCTTCTACTTCTCCCTACATATCTGGTCTCCCTTTTACCCTCAGAAACAGAACCCCCAACATTTAGCTGGCATCTGGCAGACCAGAATCATGACTATATTTCGCAGCCTCCCATATAGCTTGATGTGACCACTGAGGTGTAAATGGAAGTGGGTCAGTGTCCTCTTCACTGCTGGCTTGGAAGCAGAGTTAATGACTGGAGTGCCAGCAGCTGTCTTGGACCATGTGGTGACCTTGTGAATGGAAGTGACACACCATGGAGTTCAATACCAGCTCTGAGTTTCTTGAATGTAAAAGAGAGATACACTTACGCCTTAAGTCAGTTATTTGGAAGTTTTATGTTATTCAAAGATGAACCTATTTTTTTTTAATATTTATTTATTTATTTTGGCTGCACAGGGTCTCAGTTGCGGCATGAGGACTTCTTAGTTGCAGCATGCATGCAGGATCTAGTTCCCTGACCAGGGATCGAACCCAGTTCCCCTGCATTGGGAGCGTGGAGTCTTTACCCACTGGACCACCACGGAGGTCCCAAGATGAACCTAATTCTAATTAATGCAAAGCTCCTTCACATCCACCTTGCCCCAGATGGGTCTCAAGGTCTAGGATGGATGGCGGAGGTAATGGAAGGGAGATCCTGCTTCAGCCTCGTGTCAGGCTGCTTCCTCCAACACCACATTAGCAGGGAGCTGACCTTTTGGAGTCATCAGGCCCAACATTAACACTTAGATCCCCACTTGGCTCTTCCTAGTTAAAATCTAGAAATAAAGAGGAGCCGGGAGCCTCTAACTTCCACTGCCACAGTAACCTGCGTACTGGGTTGACTAATGTCCTCCCCAGAATTCATGCCGGCCCAGAACCTGTGGACATGGTCTTATTTGGAAATAGATCTTTGCAGATGTAATTAGTTAAGATGAGGTCATACTGGATTAGGGCAGCCCACATGGATGAGGAGGCCACGTGAAGACACAGATATACACACAGAGAAGAAGGCCACGTGACAACGGAGGCAGAGATTGGAGTGATGCGTCTATAAGCCAAGGAACACCTGGAGCCACCAGAAGCTGGGAGAGGCCAGGAAGGATCCTCCCCTAGAGGCTTCAGACAGAGCAAGGCCCTGCCAGCACCCTGATTTGGGGCTTTTAGACTCCAGAACTGTGAACGAGTACATGTCTTGTTTTAAGCCATCCAGTTTGCGGTCATCTGTGACAGCAGCCGCAGGAAACTGGTACACCCACTAAGTGGCAGAATCGGGATTGAAACCCAGGCCTATCCAACCACAATAGCAGGCTGCCTCCCAAGTGGCTGGTTACTCTGCCTGAATCTGTTTACTCCTAGTTCAAGTGGCATTAATACCACTCCTGTCCCAAAGATGCTGAGGGGACTAGAAATGGCACTTTCCTAGGAGAGTTGGCATTTGATACACATCAGCTGTCTTATCCGTCCCCTCCTGCACCAAGCCAGAGCCTTGGATATAATAGTTTGTTCCAAGAATGGCTTTGGAATGCAGCCTCTGGCTTATAAAAGACACCTGTCCACTTGCAAAGGGCAAATAATGTTTTCACATTATTTGGGTCAGTAAGAAAGAGTTCTATCCTCACTTATTTTCCTGCTGGGTTCTTAGTGGGAAACACTCCAAGAGGAGCACTCTAAGGTGATGGGAACATTTCCATCTTGATTGGGTGGTGCTGACATGGGTGTACCAAGAGGCAAAAATTAATCTAGCTCTTACACTTCAGGCCTGGGCATTTTACTGTGCGTAAAGCATACTTTCATTGAAAGCAAACAGATACTACCGCTCCCCTGCAAAAAACACGTAAGGGCTTTGGCGCTGTCCATCTTGTTGACTGCTGTATTGCTGGGCCCTGGAAGGGCACCTGGCACACAGTGAAGGCTCAATGACGTTGGCTGAATGACTCAGGGAATGAATGGGGATTTCTCGTGCCACCTGTTACATCCAGAACATTTTCTCCCAGGCATCCAGGTAACACAGTAACAGCGGTGTTTCCTCTCTAGTCCCCATGTTGCGACAGAACCAGGGCAGAGGTGTCTGCCCTCCCTCCTTCCTCTACTGGAAGGGCTCCACGAGGCTGCTGATCTCTTGCAGCCCATGTTCATTTAAGAACTATTTAATGAAGCGTGCTGGGTACAAAGCCCAGCTCCTGATCTTTCCAGGGTTCACTTTTATAAGCAATTAGTTCTTGCTGGCACAACGGGCAGGAAGGAAGTCTGGACAAAGGCTGATGTGATCCATTTGGTCTGTTTGGCCAAACTCCTCTTGACTTTCTCTCAACGAGTGACGAGTGACAGCTCCTTGGAGGCAGATCCTACGCCCACCCCCGCCACCCCGAGCAGGGCAGGACATGGTGCTGGACACACATCAGAAGTGCTGAAAGAACTGGCCCCAGTCTCCGACCAGGAAGGACACCAATAGGTCCCTAGGACATGGCATCCCAGTCTCTCTGAAAAGCAGTGGCTAAATGAGGGCACAGAGTTGGCAGGAGACTATGTAGTTCCTGATCCTGGTGCTCACAAAAGTCTGGGCCTGAAACCGTGTATTGGGAGCCCACACACGGCCCAGGCACTCCCTTCTTTCCCCACTTGGGCTGGGCATCGGCTCACCTTCAATGAACTCCTCTCCCGTCCAAGTTGCCCTGTGCACACTAGCCTGGTCACTCTGTGTGACCGCCTTGGGAGGGGGAGCTGTGCCCTTGCCTTTCGCTCCCCACACCCTAGTGCATCCCACCAACAGCCCCCTGACTTGGAATCAGAAGCCCTCTATGGAAATCACCTCAGGTGGATCTGTTTGGGATTTTGTCTCTTTATACCCTGGGGTCATCTCCTCCCACCGGGAATAACTTTGATCCTTTCCCCAAGGGTCTGGGATGCCTCTGGGACAAGGCACAGATGGGACTGGTCCCGAGGTCATCAGGGCAGGGTCATCAGGCCAGCTCAGTGAGCCCAAGGGAGAAGGTGTCTGGTTGAACGACCCCTGGGAGGTGCTCTGCATCGTCCTCACATTTCTCAGGTCAGACTCTGCTGTTCCGGACAGGCCCCATGGTGTGAGAACTCGGGAACAAGCCAGTTTAGGGGAAAGGTTATGAACATGAACAGCTGGCCCAAGAAATCCTCTTATCCACTCACCGATTCATTCAGCACATTCTGAACCTTCACTTTGTGCCAGGCACCCTTCTGGCGTGGGTGACCCAAGCGGTGAACGAGACAGATCCTGTTCAGGCCCTCTTGTTTATGTGTTGGGGGTGCAGGTGGCGGGATTTGTTTGCTTTTCATGGAAGTATAACTTACACACAGTAAAATGCCAGGAAAGTGTCCCTGGTTCCCCTGCCTTCAGGGTGTCTGTAAAATCTTTGGGGAGAATCTGAATGTCCCAATGAGGAATCCTCCCTCCTCTGGGCCCTTCCGGACCTCCGAACCTTAAACTCATCCAGGCGAATCTGGAGCTTGTCCACTGCCCTGTCCAGCACGAGGTGGTGGTCCTTTATCATCTCTATCTGGTGGCCCCAAATTCTCTCAAGTTCCTCCTCCTACAAGGGGGAGACATAGACACAAGAGGCCTCTGCTTCTGAGGTCGCCACAGCTGGGAAGGGACTTCAAGAGAGTACCAGACCAGGGCGTCCCCAGCCTGCCAGCCAACTGCCACTTTAGACACTTGTCAGAGGGAACCATGTGGCCGCCCACCACTGGGAGCCTTGCACCAGCCAGGGCAGACCTGCCTCCGCGGGGCTGCACCTCCCTTCTGGGCCCCACTCCCTCCCCAGGGCTCCTTTCAGCTCCAGGACAAACGCTGCATCCAGAAGGGCAGGGCCTCCACCTGGCTGTGGCCATGGAGTCTGCCATCACCTCAAGCCATCGTCTTCTCAAATGCCTTTTCTGCCCGGGACACTGACCCTCATCCTGGATTTCTGGAGGCTGCCAATCTTTTCTTGCAATACGTCCGCCGTTGTCCCAAGCTTGGAAGAGGCTCCCATATTAGCTGAAAGCAAAGGAGGGGGTGGCTGTTGGGGGCAGGGATGGGGGAAGATGCTTCATCTAGAGTTCCACCTGCTTCTGTTATATTTAAGGCAGTGCTTTTCAACAGAGAGATGCTGTGAGCTTGGGGACCTTTGAGACCATCTAAAATTTTCTGGTGAAAATTTAAAAAAAAAAAAATCTAAAAATAAGCAGGTGAAATTAATTTTTTTAAAGATTTTTTTTGATGTGGACCATTTTTAAAGTCTTTATTGAATTTGTTACAATATAGCCTCTGTTTTATGTTTTGGTTTTTTGACCCCGAGGCAGGTGGGAGCTTAGCTCCCTGATCAGGGATCAAACCCACACCCCCTGCATTGGAAGGTGAAGTCTTAACCACTCGACCACCAGGGAAGTCCCAGGTGAAATTAATTTTAAGAAAATATTTTGTTTAACCCAATATAATCTATGTGGGTTTTGGGGGGGGCACACTGTGGGGCATGCAGTATCTTAGTTCCCCAACCAGGGACTGAACCCGTGCCCCCTGCATCGGGAGCTTGGAGTCAACCACTGGACCGCCAGGGAAGTCCATAACCCAATATAATCCAAAATAGCATCATTTTGGGAATTCCCTGGCAGTCCAGTGGTTGGGACTCCACGTTTTCACTGACGAGGGCCCGGGTTCAATCCCTGGTCAGGGAACTAAGATCCCACAAGCTGCGCAGCCAAAAAAAAAAAAAAAGCATCATTTTAATATGTGATCAACAAAATGATTAACGAGATATTTCACATTCTTGTTTTCGTATTAAGCCCTCAATATCTGGTGTGCATTTTGTGCTTGGACCATATGAGAACTTGAACTTGCCCCATTTCAGATGTTTGACAGCCTCGTGGTTATCCTATTAGGGAAACCTCTCTGGAATTTATTGCCCTCCCAGAAATGGTCCTGAGAAAAACTATGGAGTATTTACTTGTGAGAGTTTATGAAATGTATTATCTCAAAACAAGATGCAAAGGGGGATTTAACATAAAAGGAGAGGGGTGAAAAAAAAAGTGCCCTATATCCAGTTTTGGATGAGAGGCCAAAAAGTGATGTACATGACACAGCTAGGAGGATAGGAAACACTGTAGCCAAGACACATTCACAACCTATTTTTAGTTTTCTTAACAAAAATGGCAACTAGTCAGAAGTAGAGTTTGGGCTATTATGGCTTTATGTTTTATATTTAAATTCATGACTATCATGACCTAAGCTGTGCCCCAGAATTCACAGAGATCGATGTGGTTCTTTTTAGCTGCTCAAAGTTCTTTTTCAAGATCTGTGGAATGGCACTGCCCATCAGGGGTGGCACCATGAATGGATTTGACTTAGGCTAATTCAACTATTACACCTGGCAGAGAGCGAAAAAGCAAGATAATGATTCAAAGAGGGGAGGACAGTGGATCTGAAAGTGGGTTCCCTGAGCCAACAGCAGCATAAGCAGCGTCCCCCAGAATGGGTTAGAAAGAGAAATTCTAGGGCCCCACTCACACCAACAGGTCAGATCTGGGGCTGGGCCCATCAGCCTGTGCCTTACCAAGCGCCCCAGGGATGCTGAGGTGAGCTTAAGGTTGAGAACCACTAGGGTAGGCCATTCTCCTCTCCACTCCCCACAGTGAACATATGCCCATCATGGGCATGAACTGGGATCATAAGTCTATTGGTACTACTGCCACCTAGAACATGACTGTGGTCTTTTTTTTTTTTTTTTTTTGCGGTATGTGGGCCTCTGACTGTTGTGGCCTCTCCTGTTGCGGAGCACAGGCTCTGGATGCGCAGGCTCAGCAGCCATGGCTCACAGGCCCAGCCACTCCACGGCATGTGGGATCTTCCCGGACCGGGGCATGAACCCATGTCCCCTGCATCGGCAGGCGGACTCTCAACCACTGCGCCACCAGGGAAGCCTGACTGTAGTCTTTAAGAAAACATATGTTTGCCCAGCTGTTGTTCCTAATCCCAAATTGACCACTTCATCTGGGGTCTATTCAGTGCTATTAGACACTCTGGTTGATCTGGACTTATCAAAATACTGTACAGCAGTACTATTTTATGGGCTATTGAAAGGGAATTTCCAAGAGTAATTTTGACTTGATTTTCCTTCTTGAGCACCAACTTTAGAACCTAACCACCCTTCTTCCCTAAGATAAGACCTCACTGTACATTGTAAAATAATAGACTAGTAAGAGGCTAATGCTTAAGCCAAAGGAATGAATGGCTAATGGTTGAATGCACATTTTGTTGGGGCAGCTAAATGAAGGAGAGGAGGTGCTTTGTAAAGGCCACAGGGAGGGCCTGAGCCCTTGTTACCCTTCCAGAAGCCAGGCCGGGCCTACCTAGATAAGTCATACGCTGATGCAGGTTGGATGACAGCTGGGCAAACTCTTCTTTCAGGGAGTCATGTCTAATGGGCATCTGGGCTATGTGGCTCATGGAACACCTGACGGCCTTCTTCTTGTCTTCAGGGGTCATGGCCTGTTCGGCAGCCAGCATGGCCTGCGACAGGGCCACGTTGGGAGGGACACGGGCAGAAGAGAATGAAGGAGAGAGGACGTCCTCACAGTCCACCTCTTGCAAGTCTTCCATCTCGCCGTCCTCGGTGAAGGCCCCACGGGAGGTCCCTGTGCCCAGGATGTCTGCAAGGACCCCTAAGGGCCCGGATGCGGCCACGGCTGTTGCTATGGTGGCCAATTTGGTGGCCAGGGTGTCCTTGACCAGCCTGGCAGCCGCTTTAGCTGCCCGGGCTGCCGATGTCGCTGCAGCTGCGAAGGTGGCTGCGGCAGCAGCTGCAATGGCAGCATTGGATTTTATCTGCTGAACCGCAGACGGGGATCCCTTAGGGAGTACTTCCGTGGAGGCCTCAGCCCTTGGGGCTCCATCCTGAGGGACTCCCACTTCCACGGAGGAATATTCCTCCTCCTTTTCTGAGAGAGCTGAGAGCTTGGATGTGTCTCCCTGGCGAGACCATGACTGCAGTAAATGAGGCTAAGCTAAGCCTAGTTCCGTGGCTGGGGGTAGGGTCCTAGAGCCCCAGAGCTGGGCAGACAGGGAGCCCGACGGGCCTAGGCCAGGCTGGAAACAGCCCAAGCTAGTCCCGGGCAAGCCTCTGGGAGGAGGCCAGCCTCGTGGTGGTACAGGCCAGGATCCTGATTGTGTGGGCTGAGGACCTGGGGCAGGCCCCAGTCCAGGGGCAGGCCCAGGTCCAAACGCAGGCCCAGGTCCAGGTGCAGGCCCAGGTTCGAGCACTTGGGCCTGGTCCGGCCCCTGGGCCCTGGGAAGCAGAGCTGCTTGGGCAGACTCCTCCTCCTGTAGCTGCCCTGGACTTGGTAATGCCAGATGGTCTCCAGGAACTGGGGCGCTGGATGGCCTCCACGACCTGGCCGTGGCTAACTTCTTCGTGGTACTCAGCCGTCTGAGGAAGGTCGATCTCTGCAACATGTTTCGCAATCTGCCACCGCTTGGAATCATCCAGCAGTTGTGGAGCAGTTCCCTGCGGAAGAGGGGGCTGGGCTGGCCAGGGCTGCTCCAGACCAGCTCAGCGATCACCCTGTCCACTCCTCACTCCGCCTTCCCCGATGCTCAGATGCTGCCTCTCCGCTTCCTCCTTCACTTACCAGGGTGAACATGGCCTCATGGAGGCTGCTCCAGAGCACCATGTCCTCAGTTTTGGGCATGGTGGTTATCTTGTTCTGGAGAGAAATCTGGGGGGGTGGGAAGGAGATTGGGAATAAGGGTCATGAACCCAGAGGGTGTGGTACCCTCAGTGGCTCCCTCCTCCATGCTGCCCTCCACACTTGCAAATAAATGGGCCTTTCCAGATTGTGTTCTCCTCCTACCCCTCCTTGCCCCCAGCACCCCTGGGCCTGGAGGGCGGGGGTCTGGCGTGGTAGGATGGGCCCCAGACCCTCACCACTTCCCACTGCAGTGCACTCATCTTCCAGTTCTACCCTTTCAAATCTTCAGAGAAAGCATCTATTCTTTCCAGATGCATCTGTCAAATGAGCCGAGCCTGTGAGCCAGTGGGTGCAGGTTCTGGTCCCAGCCCTGCTTCTCCCCCAGCTCAAATGCAAAGCCTTAGCTCTAGGTAACTAAGAGATGGAGAAGGAAGAACAGATTCCAAAACAACTGTTTCCCACTGAGTGGGAAAGGGTTCCCTGGGCAAATAAGTTTGGGAAATGCTAGGCTTAAAAAACATTCAGGGCTTCCCTGGTGGTGCAGTGGTTGAGAGTCCACCTGCTGATGCAGCGGATGCGGGTTCGTGCCCCGGTCCAGGAAGATCCCACATGCCACGGAGTGTCTGGGCCCATGAGCCATGGCCACTGAGCCTGCGCGTCCGGAGCCTGTGCTCTGCAACGGGAGAGGCCACAACAGTGAGAGGCCCGCGTACCGTAAAAAAAAAACCCAAAAAAACATTCAATGGGTTTCTATACCGAAGGACTTCTCAGAGCCTTTAATGGGCCAAAGTACCTTAAGAATCTCCAAGAGGTAAGCTGAGAAGGCATTGTTTCCCAAACAGATTTGGCCAACTGTCTGTTTTAGTGTTTCATGACAGTTTCCTGGCAGTGCCCTTTCTGCTCAGATGGGAGCTACACAGCCCAAGACTGAAGTTCTCACAGTTGCCATCATGATCAAATACGTACACTGACCTGTGTATTAGGGATGATACAGTAAATCATGTTATTTGGGGACAAGTTGTAAAACCTCAGCCATAACACCAGCCTGGGGTGTTGAGGCCTGGCTTTGGAGCCCAGCTCTGACTCACCAGCTGTGACCTTACACTTCAGGGATTCCATATCCTTTCCCATCACGGTAAGGAGTTAGAACATGTCTGGGTTGATATTCTTGTGGCTACAGAGGGAGCTAGAAGGTATGCCTATGCTAGGTTTACTCCACTTTTCAGTGTGAACAACGTTTTCTAGACAAGGAATAAGTATTCTCTTTCTGATAAGTTGATGGACTATAAGCCTGGAGTTACCAGGACTTGGGGAGTATCTGAGTGAGAATGAAGCCAACCCAGAGGAAAGCATCACTGAGGGAGAGATGTTGAGCACCTTGGTATGTGGTATGAACATCTTGATCTGGCTGTAACTGAAAGCATTCCTGACTTTTTAGTAAATGAGACAATAAATTCTCTTCTTTTGCCTAAGCCAGGGTGAACTAGGTTTCTGTCACTTACAAATGATGTCTTAACACAGCAGGGTGAGGATCATTGTGTAAGCTGCAGAGAGTTCAGTGGGATGGACCAAGTGGCTCAGCCATGTCAGACCCCTTCTCCTGCCCCCATAGCTGTGTTCTTTGACGAAGAACAGGCTTCTTGGATTTACCCTGTTACCCCAACCACCAGATGTCCAAGCAGCATGGCCAGTATGAAGGATGCTGGGGAGGGTCTACCTTGTCAAACATGTCCTTCAGCATGGCCACATCCTTCCTGAGGGTTTCAACAGTGACCTTGAGTGCATAAATGTCGGTGAGCACATCCTGCAGGGTCTTCATGGACTGAAGAGGGAGAAAGGAAAGGAAAGTGTGAAGTTAGGTGCAGCTGGGGGAAAAGGCAAGTAAAGTGTGGAAGTTCTCTGGTGATGGCCATGGTTCAAGAAGTCTTTTGGGCTCTTCCAAGGCCTAGGCTGGAACATATTCAGAGGCCAGAAAATGACACTGAAGTGAATCGTGCTCTGAGCTCTCAGGTGGCCTAAGTGGGAAGCAGGCAACCCTCGGTTTGAATGTGTTCAGTAAGCAGGAGTCACTCATCATGAAGCATCTCATGCCCTTTGGTAGGAGCCACTGGAAGATCAACAAGGAATTTATTGGATTTATATTTTTAAAGGGTACTTCTGGCCGCATGTGCAGATTGGCCCTTGGAGGGTAAGGGGGAAGCCAGAGGAGCAGGGAGGAAACTTCAAGGCAAGAGCTGATGGGTGCAATGTTGGTCTCATAGCTCAGCTCCACCAATGACTGGGGCTGTTACTGCATCTTCCTAGATTTTAGACTCCTCAGTTAATTAAATGGGTATGAAAAAACAGTGATAATTTATATAAAGGGGCTAGTGCATAGTTAGGCATTCAGGTAACAAAAATAACAAATAGTGAAATGGCAGAAGTCCTTCTTACCTGTAATTACATTAAATGTAAATGGCTGAAATTTCAGTTAAAAGGCAGAGATTGGCAGAATAGATAAGAAAACATGATCCAACCTCATGCTGTCTATAGGAGACACATATTAGATTCAAAGATACAAATAGGTTGAAAACAAAAGGGTAGAAAAAGATATACTATGCAAGCAGTAACCAACAGAGAAGCAGAGTGGCTACACTAATATCAGACAAAATAGACTTTAAGATAAAAATTATTACTAAAACACAGAGGTACATTTATAATGATAAGAGGGTCAATCCATCAGGAAAATATGATAATTATAAACAAACATGCACCTAGCAATGAAGTACCAAAACTAAATGAAGCAAAAACTGAAATAACTGAAAGGAGAAATAGTTGAAGACTTCAATACCCGATTTTCAATAATGGATAAAACAGCTAGATAGAAGATCATCAAGGAAACAGAAGATATGAAGATCACTATAAACCAAATGGATATAACAGACATCTATAGAACACTCCACTCAACAATGTCAGAATATACATATTGGGTTGGCCAAGAAGTTCGTTCGGGTTTTTCCATAAGATGTTACGGAAAAACTGAACAAACTTCTTGGCCAACCCAATAGAACATTCTACCAGATAGACCATATGTTAGGCCATAAGACAAGACTCAATAAATTTAAAAAGGACTGAAATCATACAAAATGTGTATTCTCAACCACAATGGAGTTAAATTAGAAATCAATAACAGGGGCTTCCCTGGTGGCACAGTGGTTAAGAATCTGCTTGCCAACGCAGGGGACAAGGGTTCAAGCCCTGGTCCAGGAAGATCCCACATGCCGCTGAGCAACTAAGCCCGTGTGCCACAACTACTGAGCCTGTGCTCTAGAGCCTGCGAGCCACAACTACTGAAGCCTGGGCTCCTAGAGCCCGTGCTCTGCAACAAGAGAAGCCACCGCAATGAGAAGCCCACGCACGGCAACGAAGAGTAGCCCCTGCTCACCGCAACTAGAGAAAGCCCACACGCAGCAATGAAGACCCAATGCAGCCAAAAATAAATAAATAAAATTTATTTAAAAAAAATCAATAACAGAAGAAACTTTTGGAAGTTCACAAATATATGGAAATTAAACAACATTCTCCTAAATAACCAATGGGTCAAAGAAGAAATTGCAAAGGAAATTAGAAACACTTTGAGATGAATTAAAATGAAAACACAAACACACCAAAACTTACAGGATGCAGCTAAAGCAGTGCTTAGAGAGAAATTTTAGCTGGAAGTGACAATATTAATAAAGAAGAAAGATCTCAAATCAATAGCCTAATCTTCTACCTGAAGACACTGGAAAAGACAGATCAAAATAAAACTAAAGAAGGTAGAAAAACTGAAACAATAAAGATTAGAGTGGAAACTAATGAAATAGAGCAGGGGTCCCCAACTCCTGGTCCACGGACAGCAGGAGATGAGCAGCGGGCAAGCAAGCAAGCTTCATATGTATTTATAGCCGCTCCCCATTGCTCACATTACCACCTGAGCTCCACCTCCTGTCATCATTATGGTGAGTTGTACAGTTATTTAATTATATACTACAATGTAATAATAATAGAAATAAAGTGCACGATAAATATAATGCTCTTGAATCATCCTGAAACCACCCCACCCCCTGGTTCGTGGAAAAATTGTCTTCCACGAAACCAGTCCCTGGTGCCAAAAAGGTTAGGGACCACTGAAATAAAGAACAGAAAAATAATAGAGGAAATCAATGAAACTAAAAGCTGGTTCTTTGAAAAGATCAACAAAATTAGCAAACCTTTAGCTGGATTGACCAAGAAAAAAAGAGAAGACTCAAATTACTAGAATGAGAAATCAAAGAGGGAACATTGCTATTGACCCTACAGAAATAAAAAGAATTATAAAGGAATACTATGAACAGTTGTATGCCAACAAATCAGATAAGGTGGATGAAATGGACAAATTCCTAGAAAGACATAAACTGCCAAGACTGACTCAAGACAAAATAATCTGAATAGACCTAAAACAAGTAAAATGACTGAATTAGCAAAACAAAAACAAAAACAACACGTGAAAAAAGGCCCAAGCCCAGATGGCTTCACCAATGACTTTTATCAAAAATTTAAAGGACAATTAATACCAATTCTTAACAAACTTTTCCAAAAACCAGAAGAATTCCTAACTCATTCTATGAGACCAATATTGCCCTGATAAAAATCAAAGATATCACAGGAAAACTAGAATATGGATGCAAAAATCCTCAACAAAATACTACCAAACTGAATCCAGCTACATATAAGAAAAATAATCCAATTAAAAATGAGCAAGGACTTCCCTGGGGGTCCAGTGGATAAGACTCCGCACTCCCAATGCAGGGGGCCTGGGTTCGATCCCTGGCCAGGGAACTAGATCCTGCATGCATGCCACAACTAAGAGTTCGCATGCCGCAACTAAAGAGTCCACATGTCACAACTAAAAGATCCTGTGTGCCTCAAGGAAGATCCTGCATGCCACAACTAAGACCCAGAGTGGCCAAAATAAATAAATAGTTTTAAAAATGGGCAAAGATCTGAACAGACATTTCTCCAAAGATGATATACAAATGGGCAATAAGCACAAGAAAAGATGCTCAACATCATTAGTCACCAGGAAAATAAAAATCAAAACCACAGTGAGATATGCTAGGATGGCTATCATCAAAAAGACAAAATAAGAAGTGTTGGTGAGGATGTGGAGAAATTGGAATCCTTATACACTGCTGGCAGGAATATAAAATGGTGCACCTCTTTGGAAAACAGGCTGACAGTTCCCCAAGATTGAAACACAGAGTTACCATGTGGTCCAGCAATTCCACCTTTAGGTATATAGAAATGAAAGCCTATGTTCACAGAAAATCTTGTACAGCAATGTTCATAGTGGCATTATTCCTAATAGCCAAAAGGTGGAAACAACCCAAATACCCATCAACTGATAAACAAAATCTGGTCTACCCATACAATGGAATATTATATGGCCAAAAAATAAAGTACTGATACATGCTACAGATAAGCCTGAAGACATTATGGTAAGGGACTTCCCTGGTGGTCCAGGGATCCCGTTGAGGCACACGGGATCTTTCATTGCAGCGTGGGCTCTTCACTGTGGTGCGCGGGCTTCTCCCTAGTTGTGGCATATGGATTTTCTCTTTCTAGTTGTGGAGCCCAGGCTCCAGGGTGCATGGGCTCTGTAGTTGTGGCCTGCAGGCTCCAGGGCGCATGGGCTCTGTAGTTTGCGGCATGTGGGCTCTCTCGTTGAGATGCACAAGCTCAGTAGTTGCGGCATGCAAGCTTAGTTGCCCTGTGGCATGTGGGATCTTAGTTCCCCGATCAGGGATCGAACCTGTGTCCCCTACATTGGGAGGTGGATTCTTAACCACTGTGCCACCAGGGAAGCCCCCAGTACACTTTAAATGGATGAACTTCCTGGTATGTGGAATATATCTCAATAAAGCTTTAAACAATAGCATTTTTGTTTTAACTGGGGGAAACTGCAACACTGTCTATTGGATGGTATTCACAAGTTACTGTTAAGTTTTCTGGGAGTGATAATAGTATTAAGAGACCAGTTTTCCAAGGCCTTATCTGCTGTAGATAGAAAAATGCTTTTCAGAGAAATCTACAAGGTCCAGATCCCCCACGTATGCAGGGATGCTTCCCCCTCCCCTTATATCTCTGGGTGTAACCAGGGGACCAAATCACCTGAGCAGGAATCATACCCCTCTCCCATGGGTAACTACAGGGCAAACCCAGAAACGATGGCCTGGTGGGCTGCTCCATGGGTAGGGGCTGCACAGGAGAGGAGGAAGACGCTTTTCTTGTGGGTCTCCTAGGACATGCAGTTAAAGGTTTCCCACAGCAGATCTAGCCTGCTTCTCACCAGGGGGGTCACGCCCCGAACTCTGGACTGTGTTGGTGGGAGAACAGCCAGGAAGATCCCACTTGGCCCCTCAGGCCACAATCAGGGCTGGGATGGAGCCAAGTTCAGGGAAGCGAATTCTAGAAAGCTGCCCTTCTTGGAAGCAGAATGTCCAGACATTCATTCTCCCTCTGTCTTTCTGTCTCTTTCTCTCTGTCTGAAGATGGCTTCAAGAATGTAGGTTCGACCTGGGGTCCAAGTGCTTCCAGAAGCTTTCAAGGGCTGATAAGGGGGTCCAAGACAAACATCCCCTTGAACAATCAGCTAGACTGGTCTACAAGGCCTCAGAGCCAGAACTTGGGAAATGGGAATGCTAACATCACTTCCTTCCCAGGGAAGGAGGAATGCAATAGCTCTTCCCGGCACCCTGGGAAGAACACTGCCAACGCAGGAAGTTCATTACTATTACTGCAATGACTTTCACCTTGATTCTCTAAAACCCCAAAGGGTCTTCCGTGCCCTTCAGCTTTGCTTTGGAATTCTCAAAAACCAATTTAAATTTAAAATCATTTTAATTGTGGGATACACAGCAGGAGATTTTGGTTGGGGGAGTAAAATGGGGAGGGAGTTTTGAAATTTCAAAAAAAAATGCAGCAACAGGTTGTTACAATCCCCTAGTGGGACACACAAGTTTACTTATGGAAACGGGGTTAGCCAGAACAATCTTAATAACAGACAGTGGACATGGCCCCTGATTTTCCCCTGTGACGCCAGCAGGGGTTATCATAACAGATGAGATAACCTGAGATAACCGAGGCCTCGAAGAGACAGCCAGGGGCTTCTGAGCAGCTTTCTAAAACTCCTGTTCAGGGCTGCCTGGGAGATGCAGGCAGGGCCTGGGAACCTGCAATTCTGGAAATGCTCCCTGGCGCCGGGAGCCTGGGTGGGTGCCCCCCTGGAGGTTGCACAGCAAGCAGGGAGCCCAGGTTTTCTAAGCAGTTCTCAATGGGGCGATTTGGCCCCCAGTGGGCTTTTGGCAAGTCTGGAGACATTTCTGGTTGTCATAACTATGGGGTGTTCCTGGCATCTAGTGGGTAGAGGCCAAGGATGCTGCTCAGCATCCCTCAGTGCACAGGACAGTCTCCACCACAAAGAATTATCCGGCCCCAAATGTCAGTCATGCTGAGGGTTAGAAACTGCAATCTAAGCTTGCTTAGTGAGGACCTGCTGCCCTACCCGAGCCCCCAAATCCAGCGGTGTGCTGCACCTGTGGGTCCTCCCAAACCTCTCCAGAAGCCCCCTTGGTGCCTGTCCTAGTTTCCAGGGCACCATTCACCCCATCTGGGGTAGGTGCTGGGGCTGGGAGGCTTGTCTTTCCCCATGAAGGGTGGCATTTGGTCTGCCAGCCTGGCTGACGTGGGCCAGAGTTGGGGGGACGGTGGGAGTGGGTTGTAGATTCTTAGCTAAGCAGCTTGCACCGCCCTAGAACCAGCTACCATGGCAACCCCGACAATGGGTCAGCGTGGTAACCCTGGCAACCTCAGCCAGACTGGGACTTGGCGACATTCTCTAACGGTGGTGGGGACATTCCTAGGTGCACAAACAGTCCTCTGAGGGCGGCATGACCAGTTCCGAACCTGTCCACCAGCCCCCTGTGTGAGCTGGCTGGGCCACTCTGGGTACTCGTGCATTCTAGGAGACTTCATCCATCAAGGCAGGCCGGGGGCAGGCTGCTCCGGAGGGGCTGGCACCTCGGACATCGTGTCCACCTCTCCAGCTTTGAGGTCCCTGTAACCTGCCCTCAGCCACCCCTGCAGCCTTCTGTGTCTCTAGTAACACTTCTTGTCTTAAAGTCTATCCTGTTCTGATGTTAGTACAGTAACTCCAGCTCTCTTCTGGCTACTGCTTGTGTGGAATATCTTTTTCTATCCTTTAACTTCCAACCTATTTGTCTTTGAATCAGTGTGTCTCTTGGAGACAGCATATAGTTAGATGATCTCTGCTTTTTGTGCGTGTGGTAAAACACACATAACAATACTAAAGTGAACAATTCGGTGGCAGTTGGTACATTCACAGGTTTGTGCAGCCGTCACCACTATCTAGTTCCAGAACATTTTCATCGCCCCAGAAAAAAACCCATACCCACCAGCACTCAACTCCCAGCCCCCGGCAACTGACATTTTCTGTTGCTACGGACTTTCCTATTCTGGGCGTTGTCTATGAACAGAATCATGCAGTGTGCTTCTCTGTGCCCGGCTGCTTCCACTGAGCACGAAGATTTATGGCTCACACCATGTCGCTTTGCCTCTCGCCTGCATCAGCCCATCTCGGCCAGAACGGACGTCCAGCTCTGTGCTAAGCAGTTCCCATGCTTTATCTTGTTTGGTTTTAATTGTTGTAGCAATCCTGAGAGGAGGCGGCCGTGGCCATCCCTCACCCCTTCCAGGGGGTAAGTGGCATCTCAGCACCCACAATCCTATGCCTTCCAACTACCCACTCGGCTCAAGTTGGCACTGGCTCCCCATTTTCTAACTCTGTGACCTCGAGTGGGTTACTTAACCTCTCTGTGCCTCCATTTCCTCATCTGTAAGCACGGGATAATGACAGCACTTTCCTCTTAGAGTCGTTAAGAAGATTAAAGGAGTGAACAGATGGAGCATCCAGCTCACCTGGCATGCAGTGAGCGCTTGTTCTCAAGATCATTCCCCTGGGGAGGGAGCAAGTGGAGGAGTGAGGGTGAAGGGGACAGTGAGGAGAAGAGACACAAGGCCCAGGAAAGTCAGGCTGGTGGACTCTGCTGTGTGCTTCTCATGGCCTATAGAGTCTCTGAGTTCTAGGAAGGGATCTTGCATTGTCTGTTTGTCACCTCTACAAACACCTGCACCAGGGCTCCCACCTTTTTCAGCCCCCAGGTTGGACGTAAAGCCTGGTGGTCCCTGTGTACTGATAGCTTTGGGGTGCCTGCCAGTCCAGGCAGTGGGAATGGGCCCCCAGGAGCTCTAATTCTTAGGCACGACCCTGCCTGCCTGGCCAGGAGTGGACACCTGACCCCAGGTGTGCCATCTCATTCTCTTACCCAAAAATTATAACCAGAAGACCCGGAGACTGGCAGCTGGAAGCTGAGACAAGTTAAGGGCTGTTTTTAAGATGCAGGAGATCTACGAACACTTCCTCCCTTTGAGGCCTGTCCACCCACTTCTTCCTTGGTGCCAATGAGAAACCCCAGCGTCCTTCAAATAATACACTGCTTTTGTTTAAAAAGAGTCTCAACCCAGGAATTCCCTAGTGGTCCAGTGGTTAAGACTGGGTGCTTTCACTGCAGGGAGCCCGGGTTCAATCCCTAGTTTGGGAACTACAATCCTGCAAGCTGCACGATGAGGCCAAAAAAAAGAGTCTCAAGCCAAATGCCCAGCAACAGGTGAATGGTTAAACCCAATGTGGTCTGTCCCTACAACAGAATACTATTCAGCCATAAAAGGGAGTGAAGCACAGACACAGGCTACAATGTGGATGAACCTGGGAAACATGACGCTCAGTGAGAAGCCAGACACAAAAAGCCATATATTGTATGATTCTATTTATATGAAATGCCCAGAATTGGTAAATCTTTAGAGCCAGAAAGCAGATTAGCATTGTTGGGGTGGAGGGAGGAGGAGTGGGGAGTGACGAGGACACAGGGTTTCCTTTTCGAGCCATGGAAATGGTTTAGAAGGGGATAGAGGTGGTGCTTGCACTAACTATCAATGTACCAAATGCCACCCAGCTGTTCACTTTATGTTATGTGACTCGCACCTCAATTTAAATAAGAGGAGTGTTAACCTAAGACATCCTGGAATGACTCCTCCATGTGATGGATGTTCTCTGTTGCCCCCGCACATCCATCCTCTGCCCCTACTCAAGTGCTCTCAGAGGCTGACCCACAGGCACTGCGCTCTCCACACCCCTGGCGCTCTGACTTCTGGCCCTCTTATTTGGCCAATGGGAGGAAGGGAGGAGAGAGAGGCTGGGGTATTTATTCTTCAAAATCCAACTCTTCCCCAAGGCTACAGCTCCTGATGGATAACTGTGTGTTGGGTGGGGAGGCAGGGGAGCAAGAGTTCCAAGGTGGGTCCTGAATCAGAAGGCCTCAGCTCATCCCTGTTCCCCGGTCACTGGCTGCTGCACCCGCAGCAAATCAATGATATTTCTTTTCTTTTATTTTTTTAAAATTGGAGTATAGTTGCTTTACAATGTTGTGTTAGTTTCTGCTGTACAATAAAGTAAATCAGCTATATGTATACATATATCCCCTCCCTCTTGGACCCCCCCCATCCCACCCATCTAGGTCATCACAGAGCACTGAGCTGAGCTCCCTGTGCTATACAGCAGGTTCCCACTAGCTAGCTATTTTACACATGGTAGTGTACTTATGTCAATCCTAATCTCCCACTTCGTCCCACCCTCCCCTTCCCCCCATGTCCACATGTCCGTTCTCTACATCTGCGTCTCTATTCCTGCCCTGCAAATAAGTTTGTCTGTACCATTTTTCTAGATTCCACATATATGTGTTAAGATGTGATATTTTTCTCTTTTTTTTTTTATTTTTTTATTTTTTTTTTTCTCTTTCTTACTTCACTCTGTATGACAGAGTCTAGGTCCATCCACATCTCTACAAATGACCCAATTTCGTTCCTTTTTATGGATGAGTAATATTCCTTTGTATATATGTACAACATCTTCTTTATCCATTCACCTGTCGATGGACATTTAGGTTGCTACCACATCCTGGCTACTGTAAATAGTGCTGCAGTGAACATTGGTATGCATGTGCCTTTTTGAATTTTTTTCATTGAGGTGAGATTCACATAACATACCATTTGAGGGCTTCCCTGGTGGTGCAGTGGTTGAGAGTCCGCCTGCTGATGCAGGGGACACGGGTTCATGCCCCGGTCTGGGAAGATCCCACATGCCGTGGAGCGGCTAGGCCCGTGAGCCATGGCCGCTGAGCCTGCGCATCCGGAGCCTGTGCTCCGCAACGGGAGAGGCCACAACAGTGAGAGGCCCACGTACAGCAAAAAAAAAAAAAAATACCATTTGAAAGTGTATAGTTCAGTAGCATTTACTGCTTTCATAGTGTTGTGCTCTATTTAGTTCTAAAACCTCATCACCACCCCAAAAGGAAACCCTGTAACCACTAAGCAGTCCTTCCCCATTTCCTCTCCCTCCAGCCCCTGGCAACCACCCATCTGCTTTCTGTCTCTACGAATGTGCCCACTCTGGACATTTCACACAGTGTATGGCCTTCTTTCCTCTACACTGATGAAGGATGGAAACTTGGAGCTTCGGTTCTGCCTGAGTCCAAAGCCGAATTCCTCTCCTGGTTAAGGGCAGGGCCCTTCATCAGGGGCACCAGGTAGGGGTGAACAGCCTGGCAGGAGAGCCAAGGGGGACGGCAGCTTCTGGAGTCCAGGCGGCTTACCTTGGCCATGGCTTCCTCGTTGCCCTTCACTATCTGGAGCTTTATCAGGTTCCATAAGTCCTGGGCGGGCTGGCCAGTGCCCTGGCTGCCCTCCAGCAGCTGGGAGGTGGAGGGCAGTTCCTGCAGCACGGCCAGCTGGCTCTCCATCTTGTCCACATGGCTCACCAGGTGGTCAAAGACGTTGCCGAGCCTCTTCATGGGGTTAAGGATGGGCTGGAAGTCTCCTTCCCGGGGCATGAACATGGCTGGCGAGGTGTGGAGGAAGTCCTCATCCGCCGAGAGGACCTTCTCAAGGTCAGCCATGTGGATGTGCTCCAGGATACCCTGGAGTAGGAGGTGCAGGGCCTTGAAGTTCACCACCCTGCACTGTGGGATGGCGATGTTGACCAGCTCTGAGAACGTGAGCGAGAAGCTCATTCTGCCGGGGTTAGGGGCAGGCTGGGCTGGCCTTCTGGGAGTCCATGGGGACAAACGGTGGCTTTCAGTGGACCCGCAAGCTGTACAGACAGGTTCTCAGGGGCCCGGGGAGCCTGCAAGTCACAGTGGTCAGGGAGAAAATGGCCTCTGTCCCGGCTGGAGCTCAGATGAGTTTCCGGTTGCTAGGACACCAGAGAACGTGGGCGAGCGGGCAAGCTTCTGAGAGCCTGGGGTGGGCAGAGCAGCGGCCCAGTTAATTGTTGAGGAATGTTCCAACAGACCAACAGGCTGCCTTTTAATTCAAGCCCTTCAGTTTTGTAAGACCAATGACCCCTTCCAAGAAGCGTGCAGGGGGCGTGATGGAGAGGCAGCTCGCTCCTTGGAAGCCTCCAGAATCGGGACAGAAGACAGAGTTCTCGGAGTTAGGAAACCCCAGCTTCCCATAATGGAAGCCCAATGAACCGGGCGGATGTAAATTTGCCAGCGGATCCCAAAGCCCTGAATTTCTCCTTGTCTAACCAACAGAAATTTGTATTGGAACAGACACTTCTTGCAGCATCAGTGTAAATACCACATAAATACCACGGGTCAAGTACACAGCTCATAACTGACCTCCAAAAAAAAGTCAATGGGGTCAAGTACACAGCTCATGACCGGCCTCCAAAAAAAAGTCAATGGGGTCTCTAGGGAAAGATGAGCCCGACTCTGGGGCGGTTTTCAGGGCCTGGGTTTGGCAGTCGAGGTCTCTGTCTTCAGGATCTGGTACCACAACCAACAGCCAGTTTTGTTTCTGACATCTGCCTGTGTTGTGGTGGCTGATGTCTGCTGTCCAGAGCCTTAAGTGCAGCGACTGCCCCATGAGAGGGCTGGACAGCTCACATGCACAAAAGTGGGAGGTCTAATCACACACAGTCCAGCTACAAACCTCCTGACCTGCTTGCTTTGTCAAGGGCAGAGTTCTGGGTATCGAGATGAGCGGCCTGAGGGCTGACCTCGTCTGCCCTCAGCTAGAAGGGGCACGGGGGAGGAGAGAGGCAGTGTGGACGGGAAACTGGCCCAGCTGGGGGGGCCTTGGTCCACTTCAGTGAAGGTGACTTCCCAGAAGCCCCAACCGACAGGGGGCTCTGCCTGTGATGGGCTCAAGACCAAACAAGGCCGGTAACAGTCATGTCTGAACTCAGACAAGAACAGAACGTCATCCAAACTACAAATATGACCATGTGGCCCCTGTCCTGGCTGAGCCGAGTGACTGCTGCTTCTCGACCAGCTAGACCGTTAGCTTTGCTTCATTCCTCCGGCCTTCGAGATAAGACTGGTTAAAATACCATAGAACTACCCCTGCTTCCTGACAGCACCAACCCAGAATGCTCCCCGCATCGCCTGACAAGGGCCAAATCCCAGAACAAGTCCTTCTACCTTAACCCTCTTGTGAGATGTCCCTGGGATCCCCACTGTGTTGTTAGACTAAAATTTCCTTTTTCTTTTTCTTTTGGTGCACTGTGTGGCTTACTGGATCTCAGTTCCCTGACCAGGGACTAAACCCAGGCCCTGGCAGTGAAAGCACCGAATTCTAACCACTAGACCACCAGGGAACTCCCCATAGACTAAAATTTCAACTGCTGCCTTGACATCTTTGGGTCTCATAGGCCCCCTTGGTTTCCCCTGCTCTTGTCAGAGGTGCCCCCCACCCAGCAGGGAAGGCCCCCCACCCTGCTAGTTCCCCCAGCAGCCAGACCAGCTGCACTCCACCCCGTCCTCATCCTGAGGGGCTTCGGTTCCCTGCCAGCCTGTGAAATTATTCAAGCAAGCCCATCATATCCTCCTGTGGGAACCAGGGGAGACCCCCACCCCCCACTACTACAAAGACTGCACCCACAGCCTTTGCTGGTTCCCTCTGCTTCCTAACTCCAAGAACTCTGTCTTCTGTCCTGATTCTAGAGGCTTCCACCAGGTGGCCCTCGGTGTCCTCTTCCCCCAGCTGTGAGTATATGCGTGGATGTCACCTGTCCAGTGCCAGGTGTGGTACTATTGAGGGTGGGGTCCCTTCCTACCAAGGGGTGAGCGGGAGGTGATCAGAACAGGCACGCTGTATGTTCTCCCTTATGGCAACAAGTCCATGAGGCCAACTTTGCTCAACTACAGCTGGGTTCCTGGTGGTCTCGGCTGGAAGGACAAGACCTTAGAGAAAACCTTCAGTGGTTGGAGCTTTTTGGACTTCCGACCAGCACACTGGGGACTGTGGCGCTGTATTATTACGGAACCAGAAGCAAGACCTGCCCAGGTGGGTGAGGGAAGGTAAGGGGGGGTGAGTGAAATGGGCTGCTTAGTGTAGCAGCAAGGCTGGAGGGGAGAGCATAGGGCCAGACTACACGCCCCACAGGCCTTACAAAGAAATGTGAGAGACAGAATCTGAAGCAATTCTCAGTCACTGGGGGCCAGGCTGGGCAAGCTGGTGTAATGACAAAGTGGCTCTTTGTCATTTTGGGGGGGATGCCTGGCATATGAAACCATTCCTGTGTCTGGGGAAGTCTCCACTGTAGGAGTCCTGGTGGGCAGTGGAGTGTTACTAGGCCCCAGCTTACTCTGAGGCTAGGACACCAGCATTTAGGGAAACGTCACAGTCGGTGCTGGCAGCTCCTGCAATCTCAAAGAAACTCACCTCACAGAGCCCAATCTGGTCTCAGACCTTCAAGATAAGGGCTGCAAGCCCACCACAGAGATGCTGATATACTTCCCAGAACCCGGCACTGGACCTGACACTGATTCTTCCTTCTCTCCTTCAACCAATATTTATTGAGCACCTACTGTGTGCCAGATGCTGCTCTTAATCATGGAGGAGACCTCAGTGAGGCCTGAGGAGGTCTCTGATCTCACAGAGCGTACAGGTTAGTGGGGGAGATGGACACTTATTTTACAACAAAGAAATAACTTCAGGTAGTGAAAAGAGTTATAAACATAATAAAACAGGGCAGGGAATTCCCTGGTGGTCCAGTGGTTAGGACTTGGCACTTTCACTAATATGGCCTGGGTTTAATCCCTGGTCGGAGAACTAAGATCCCACAAGATGCACAGCACAGCCAAAAAAAAAATTTTTTTAATTAAAAAAAAAAGGGACTTCCCTGGTGGCGCAGTGGTTGAGAATCCGCCTGCAAACGCAGGGGACATGGGTTCGAGCCCTGGTCCGGGAAGATCCCACATGCCACGGAGCACCTAAGCCTGTGCGCCACAACTACTGAGCCTGTGCTCTAGAGCCCGTGAGCCACAACTACTGAGCCCACGCGCCACAACTACTGAAGCCCACGCGCCTAGAGCCCGAGCTCTGCAACAAGAGAAGCCACCGCAATGAGAAACCCACACACCACAACGAAGAGTAGCCCCCGCTCACCGCAACTAGAGAAAGCCTGCTTGCAGCAATGAAGACCCAACAACAAAGACCCAATGCAGCCATAAACAAACAAATAAATAACTAAATCTATAAAAATACAATAAAAGAGGGAAAAATGAGAGTGGGGGATGGGCATTAGTAGGCTTATTGGAGTAGCCAGTCTCCAACATATACTCCAAAGATAGCCCCTGGGATTCACACCCAGTGGTCTCCCCAAGCACTGTACCAGCTAACCTGGTCCTGGTCCCACCAGCCTGCATCTTGTACACACATGCATTTGCTCATTTCACATTGCAGAATGGCAAGACCTGGGAAAGCCGTGTATGTTACAGGTGATTTGATGCTGCTAAATCGAAACACTGATGATGAAAATGCAAAAAAAAGTCAATGTGTTAGACTTGAAAGGATCCATAAACTTTAAAAATTGTGTCGTTCACCATAAAACTCCTAGAAGAGAATGTAGGCAAAACGCTCTCTAGCATAAACTGTAGCAGTGTTTTCTCAGGTCAGTCTCCCAAGGCAATAGAAATAAGAAAAATAAACAAATGGAACCTAATCAAACTTACAAGCTTTTACAAAGCAAAGGAAACTATAAACAAAACAAAAAGACAACTTATGGACTGGGAGAAAATATTTGCAAATGATGCAACCGACAAGGGCTTATACAAAACATACAAACAGTTCCTACAACTCAAGAACATAAAACAAACAACCCCATCGAAAAATGGGCAGAAGACCTAAATAGATATTTCTCCAAAGAAAACACACAGACGGCCAATAGGCACATGAAAAGATGCTCAACATTGCTAATTATTAGAGAAATGCAAATCAAAACTACAGTGAGGTACCACCTCACACCAGTCAGAATGGCTATCATCAAAAAGTCTACAAATAATAAATGCTGGGGAGGTTGTGGAGAAAAGAGAACTCTCCTACACTGCTGGTGGGAATGTACATTGGTGTAACCACTATGGAAACCAGCATGGAGGTTCCTCAAAAAACTAAAAAAAGAGTTGCCATATGATCCAGCAATCCCACTCCTAGGCATACATCCAGACAAAACTCTAATTCGAAAAGATACATGCACCCCTGTGTTCACAGTAGCACTATTTACAATAGCCAAGACATGGAAACAACCTACATGTCCATCGACAGAGGAATGGGTAAAGAAGATGTAGTCTATATATACAATGGAATACTACTCAGCCATAAAAAAGAATGAAATAATGCCATTTGCATCAACGTGGATGGACCTAGAGACTATCATACTAGGTGAAGTAAGTCGGAAAGAGAAAGACAAATACTATATGATATCACTTATATGTGGAATGTAAAATATGACACAAATTAACTTATCTACAAAACAGAAACAGACTCACAGATATAGAGAACAAACTCGTGGTTGCCAAGGGGGGGTGGGGGAGGGAAGGACTGGGAGTTTTGGATTAGCAAATGCAAACTATTATATATAGGATATATAGCACAGGGAACTATATTCAATATCCTGTGATTATCCATAATGCAAAAGAATATGAAAAAGAATATATATGTATGTATAACTGAACACTTTGCTGTACAGCAGAAATTAACACAACATTGTAAATCAACTATACTTCAAAAAAAATTTTTTTTAATTGTGTCACTTTAGGTCTTAAAATAAAATGTATGTTATAAAAATGAAAGACCCAAAGAGCTGGCTGCTTGTATGGAAGAGGTCACCTCACAGGGTTTTCCCAGCTTCCTGGAGGGCCTGCTGTCGCTGGGGAGGGACCCTGCCCTTAGGTCGGCAGAGAGCAGCTGTGAGCTGGCACCACTCAGTTCTGATGGCAGAACCCTAATTCAGACAATTTCAGGACAAACTTGTCACTGGGAACTTCTTTGAATGGCTGGTCAGAGCCAGAAGCCAATTAACATGATTGGAAACAAGCAGTAGCATTTTTTTTCCTCCCAAATAAATTGAGGTCAACGATTAAATCAGTTCTGTAAAGTGCCATTCTTCTGCTTCACCCAGACAAACCATTTTTCTCGCTGGATAAGTAGCTAAGAATGATAACCAGGCAACCTTTCCTCTCTTGCTCTGGGAAGAACTGAGAGGTGGAAGGCTCAGGCAGCTGGTGGAGGATTAGAGCTTGTGGTGAATGTCTGCACTTTCTGGCTGCCCAGTATCTGGACTTTCTGCTCATCCAGGGTGGGGGTAGAGGTGAGGGATCTCACAGCAGGTGCAGGCGACCTGTCCACTCCTCAGAAGCTGAAGGTCTGGGAGTTCCTTGGTGGGCTAGTGGTTAGGATTTGGGCTGTCACTGCCGTGGCCCAGGTTCAATTCCTGGATGGAGAACTGAGAAGATCCCGCAAGCCACGCGGTATGGCCAAAAAAAAAAAAAAAAAGAACAAGAAGCTGAAGATCCCACCCTCCCACCAAGGACTCGTTTGTAGTTAGATGTGAAAATTCAACAAGGCAACTGCTGTCCCTGGTTCTGAATTTCAAGACCGATATTTTTAAGAACCTGTTTCAACACAAATCAGCTCTGGACTAACCCACAGGAAGCTGTGGGGCTGTGGGGTAAGCATTAGTCTGGGATGGTCTGTGGAATTGCAGTGACTCAGCCCCTTCTTACCATGTTGGGCAAGATACCTGATCTTAGGGAGGCTACTTACCTCCCTGAGCCTCAGCTTTCTCACCCCATCCTTATCTCACTAGGATGAAGGGCAGATGGAAAGGGAAGGGAATTTTCAGGACGAGAGCAGTGCAGTTGAAGGTCCAGTGACTAGATCACTGGGTAATGGCGCACTAAGCTTCCCTGCCAGGCTGTCTGGGGTGGCATCTTGGCCAGGCCCAGCTTCCTGGTTCCCATCCAAGCTGGGTTTCCCAGCCAGGAACATAATTCTGTGAGCTACTGTGACCTTCCAATCAAGTCTTTTTCTGCTCAGGTAACCTGAGTCAGTTTCTGTTGCTTGCACCCAAGAACCTCCAACCAGTCCGAAATGCTCATTTGTGAGGCTGGCTAAACGAAAGGAAAATGCAAACAGAACCCTTACAAGTGGTGAGGGGCAGCTGGGTGTTCTGGGGAGGCTACAGCCAATTAAAGCCTGCACTTGTTGGGTTCCTTGATGCCCACCTCTCAGGAGAGCGTGTCCAGGTGGGAGTAGGAGCTGCAGGGCCCACATTTCTCCAGGGGGAGGGATAAAATATAAGTTTACATTTGTACTGGGACCCGGACAAGGCACTGTCCAGCTCCCTTAAAAAGACCTCAGACCACAGATTTCCAGGGACTCGTGAGAGATGCCCAGGGATCTTCTAGATGCCTTACTCCCAGCAATCATCCACATCACAACCTTCATCAGTTCCTACTGACTTTTCTTCCTAAGTATCTCCAAATTCCATCTACTTCCCTCCTTGTCCACGGCCAGCCCTGCAGCCCCGTGCTTAGGACAAAGACCAAAGCACTTGACGTGGTCTACAGGGTGCATGGCTGGATACCTTCTCACCTCTTTTTTCTTTTTTTTATTTATTATTTTGTTTTTAACTGCATTGGGTCTTTGTTGCTGTGCATGGGCTTTCCCTAGTTGCAGCGAGCGGGGGCTACTCTTCGTTGCGGTGCACAGGCTTCTCATTGCGGTGGCTTCTTTTGTTGTGGAGCACGGGCTCTAGGTGCATGGACTTCAGTAGTTGTAGCACGCAGGCTCAGTAGTTGTGGCACACAGGCTTAGTTGCTCCGCAGCATGTGGGATCTTCCCGGACCAGGGCTCAAACATGTATCCCCTGCACTGGCAGGTGGATTCTTAACCACTGTGCCACCAGGGAAGTCCCTAATGTTTTTTTTTTTTAAAGTATATTTGGGAAGTTTTCAGGCATTATTTCTTTGACTATCTTTCCTGTTCCTTTCTCTCTCTCCTCTCCTTCTGATACTTCCATTACATGTATGTTGGTGCACATTTCTCTGAGGCTTTGTTCAATTTTCATTTTATTTTCTATTTTTCAGATTGTATAGATACAAATCTCTATCGATCTAGCTTCAAGCTCACTAGTTCTTTCTTCTGCCAGTTCAAAGCACTTCTGTTTTATAGATGAGGAAAAGAGGATCAGAAAACTTAATTTACTAAAGGTCACACATAGCTAATAAGTGGCAGGGCCAGGACTTGAATCTAAGATCTCAGCTCTCATCCTGCCAATCACTTATTCAATCATTCATTCAATCATTTCTTTCAATAAATAATATTTACTGAAAGTCAACTATGTGCCAGAAACTATTCCCAGGGCTGAAGAATACCAAAAAGACAAGATTCCTGCCCTCATGGAGATAGCAACAAGTAAACAGATAAATAAGGTAACAGATGATGTATGTGCTATGAAGAAAGTGAAGCAGGCAATGAGATAATGGGGGTAGGTGCTCAGGGAGGCCTGTTTGCAGAGGTGACATCTGAGCTGAGACCTGAAGAGAGGAAGTTCCTGGGGTTCCTTTGACAGAGACCTTTCTCCTCCTTCTCTGTGTCTCTGTCCCCAGAACACACAGCCCAGCACATAGGAAGGACTCAGTAAATGTTTGCTAAACTGGATGACAGGTGCAAAGGAGTTGTTAACTCTCATGGGCCATATTAATGATAGAGAAATGTTAACATTGAAATCATTCATGT